GATGCTGGTTGCTCTAGGACTGTTCCAAGTCGCTCCGGCCTCCTGTCCCTTCGCTCCTTGGGCTATATGCTCGGGAGTTGCTCCGTGGTCCGGTTCCATCACTCCTTGGCATCACGTTTGGGAGTTTGGCACCGTTCCTTTGTTCAGTGGCCCAAGGCCCTGAACCTCGGGTTCCTATGGACACGTGGCACGGACACGTGGTATGTGACATGTGGCATCTGTCACGTGGCACAAAGAGGGTTTAGGTTCCGCTTCGTGGTGTTATCCTATGGTAAATCACCATAAGATAAAGGGTCAAAACCACGTGCGCTACAAGTGGATTATAAATAACCAAAAAGAATGATTTTAAAGATAATTTATAGAAGTTTAAATATAAAAGAAAAGAGCCCATAAACCTCCAATATCCTTTTTTTGATCCCCACCAAATCCTCTCTAATCAATAACACTAACACCACCACTAGATTAGAGCTTGATGACATTTGGGACTTTCACACCACATATCCATACAATAGTTATTAAGTAAGAAAACCATTTTCTTCCTTTTCATAATAAAAAATTTCAAAACAATATTTTGAAATATTACGACCTAATGCAAGCCTTGTGGGTACTCTCACTGCCTTTACCACTAATATGCCTTGGTCACATGGCTAAAATTTCATTAAGCCACACAAAGTATCCAAGTAGGTAATACCACCCACATTTGGATTAGAAGCCTAATCTCCCAAAAGAGATAAAATTGATTCTTGAATAGTTCATCTTATTTGTCCATTTATATTCACTTTAGCCTTAGACTCCTAAGTATTTATATTATCACCCACTAGATGTGTAAAACTTTTTTTTGTCATATTGATTCTTTTAAAGTTTTTCCCCCTACTATTCTATAGAAACTTACTAAACTCCTAAGGTTTGGGAAATGATCATTTAAAGGTTGAATATATCTGGCCCCGGATATGCCTATCCCCAAATATGTCTAACACTTCAAATACTTGGTTTTCAGTGGGGTGAGATGATTTTGACATTATTCCACTTTGAGATTTTGGGTTCTAAATTTTTGTTTCAACACTCCTAGGTATTAGTCATTTTAATGTCCCTTTTTAGAGATTTGTTATCAATTGTTTCATACTCATTGTTTAATCACTTCATGCTCATTGTTTAATTGTTTTATGCTTGTCCCTTAAACCCTTTGGAAATTTCACTTCTACTCTTTACTTTTTGTGTTAAAGCTTTTAGTCTAAATGTGTTATGCTTGATGGTCTTCCATCTTAGTGCACCTTTGGCTTAACTCTAAAACTAGTCAAAGAAAACTCAAGTATGTAATCATTAAAGAAAAGTTTATCTTTTATCCCCCGCAAATGTATTATAAATGTTTATCCAACTTTTTATCAACTTCTCTTCTAAAATTCTTAATATAATTATATATTAATCAATTATATTAATAAATAATACTAAATAAAAATAAAATAGTAAACTAAAAATTGCTATATATAATATGCAGAAAAGGATTTTATTTATATTATCATAATTTATTAATATAAGTGCATAGAATATGGAAATAGGTTTACACTCCTGCTTATATATAGAAATGGATAGACCAAATTCAGTCCTAAATAGATAGTCTATATGCTATATTACTATAATTAGTATATTATATAGACATTGATACATACATATATATATATATATATATATATATATATATTTATAGATCCTCCCATCAAAAAGTTAAAAAGGTAACGAAGTTAGATGAAATATTTAGAGCTTCTTTTGAGTGATTATACACTTCTACAAGAACTTAAAACTCTTACAAAATCATTAATATAATTACTAACAATCATGACAGAAACAAAATCCAAAGCCATGGTATACAAGTAAGAAATTTTGGTGAAATAATTGCAATTTTGTGTGCAGTATCTAAATGCTCAAATTAACCTTAAAACTATAACTATGAACCAAAGCAAAGTATGTCGAGCGCAACTATAATCCACAAGACATTGTTGTAACAAATGATGCATCTTGTTATTAAAATAGCATATTGACCATCTTTTGAAACCACCATTAACTTTGACCCATGACCTTCAATAAAATATATCCTTGCATTTTCCTTTTGATTAGTTTTCAAGACATGTGTTAACTTGAATTTACAACCTTTGTCCTCATATAACACCAATATGGGAAGTAAAATTCACTCTATTCATCCTATACATTATGGCTATTAACTTTTCATATTCTTTTCTCCATTGTTAAACTTGGGTCTTTCTTTATCCTCTCTTTAAATGAAAAAAGTTTAATTCTATTAATTCATTGCACTTGTCTTCATCTATGTTTAACTTCACTCCATTATCAAATTTATTTACCCTCACTGTATCAAGGCTAAATATTTCATTCAAATTTGTTACACTCATTTTCACTCCACAATCTATACATTTGTGTTTGCTTCATTACTATATCTACTCATCCTCATAGGTAAGACTCCTATTTATCCCCTCTACTCCCTCTTAAAAAAAAAAGTTTGAAGCATTGGGGCAAAAAAGAAAAAATGAAAAAAATTGAAGAAACATTATAGAAGAAGAAGAAATGAATAAAGAAGTATTGAAAGAAGCATTTTCAATAGTTGTCAAAATAAAAATGGATAAAAAAAAAGAAATATGCTTAAAACTTGGATAAGAAAGGACCTCCTATTATAAGAGACTCCATCCAAGAAAAAAGGCTAAAGACCAAGAGATATATTATTATAAAATACTTTAGCCAAGCCTAGATAAGTAAACTACTCTATATATTCAACCTTTTTAGTATGAAACTCAATATTTAAGATGGGAAAATCAATAAAAAAGTTCATACTCTTAAGGAAATAGAAAATTCATTAGTAATAATAGTAACATAAAGACTCTTACATTAGAGGAAATACACTTGACCCAAAATTTTAGCAAAATTAATTTAACCTTTGGAATAGAGGAATACTTAATATCAGAAATAATCAAAAACTCTACTAAAAAAGCAAAAACAAAATTCTCAACTTCATACATATGCAATATCCAAATATGATAAGGATAGAAAACACTCAATTTAACACTATACTGAGAATAAAACTCATAAGAGTAAAAAATGACCAAATGATCAACATATTAAGAGAAGGAAATATTGTAAATATGGAAAAGGCATTGCCAAGAAATAAGAAAATGTTGTAAGAGAGTAAAAGGCAAATAAAAAGGATCATGTGGCAAATTAAGGATTAACACTTACTCAATAAAATCTCCAATTTGTCTTCATAATTATCTCCAAAGCAATCAAATTCTTTATTAGTAGAAATTCACTCAAGCTCAAATATCATCTTTTTATAAACTCAATCCCCAAACACCCTTCAAGAACCAGACTACATTATTTATAACTTTTCAATTAATATCACAATCATACTCTATATTAATAGGAGATTGGCAAGAAATCAAGAATAGGAGAAATCATGTAATTATATTCTAGGAAAGCTAATAATGACAATACATCAAGATTTGAGCAACATCAACAAGATCATGCTATATATCACCAAAAACTCAATATAAAGATAACATAACCACAAGAACAATATGACAACCACAACACGTCATCTGCAGCCTTGGATGGCATATTTTAGATTTGGTGAAAGGATAACATATATCTAAATTTAAAAGAGAACAAAGGAATAAAAACAAAAGTATGATACTGAATACTAAGCAAATTACTGTTAACAAACTATGCTCTCTAAGGACAAATTGCAATGCCCTCTGGTTTGCCCTCAACCATCAAGCATAACATGAAGCTTGATAACCTAGTCCTACATGTAAGTTGGACAGATAGGATGCTAATTTGTGGACAAGTTGGAATTGCATGTAAGTATGAGATCTTTCTCTTTTTCCTTCGCTGCAGACTAGGTGATAATGTAGTCTTGGGTGGCCAAGCAGGTGTTGCAGACTACATAGACATCACTTCAAAGGTCCTACTTCCTGATGTTGTCAATCTTTCTATCCAGGTCCAAATCACAGCGAAAAGATTCAAACATTACTGAGCTGGTTTCTTTTCCCAGTTCAGTTGCAAAAGCTCTCGTGCATACTGAAGTCACAGGTGCCCGTGGGCAATCGGTGGTGGCTTTGCGAAACTTTTGTGGCAAACATCCAATGTGAGAGATTGGCAAGAGCTTGTTGACAACACCAAGCTCGCTCTCAAGCTCAGCAACTGCATAACCTCGCTGGATCACCCCTTCAAGGATTGTTTGGCGCGACTCCTCAAATATACATCAAAGTTTTTCCTCAAGTGTATCTTTTCCTCCATGCGTCGAGAATCGTGGTCCATGTCACGCTATTTGGCTGGAATGGCATTCTCCTCGCTAGAGCAATGGCATCCTCGACGTTACTGGCACGGCCAAGAACGTCGATCATGCAGTGAAAGTGCTCGATGTGAGCAGCCACCCCAAACTTGGACCACATTCCATCCAAGAATTCCCGTCCTCGATCGAGAATCCCAGCGTGACTGCACGCCGCGAAAATCTCTACAAAGGTGACACTGTCCGGATCCACGCCTTGCACTCGCATGCTCCGAAACGCTTGGAACGCAGCGATGGCGTCTCCTCGAGCGCCATGTCCTGCAATCAAAGTATTCCATGCCACAGTGTCGGGAGACGCAATGGAGCTCTCAAACACAAGCTCGGCGACCTCGACGCTCCCGCATTTACAGTAGAAGTCGAGCAGGGAAATCGCCACAGGACTCCCTTCCAGTCCCTGCCGGAGAATCTGTCCGTGGAAGAGCTTACCGAGCTTCAAATCTCCCAGGTTCCCGCAAGCTTGCAACAACGCAAGAAAGGTTTGAGAGTTGGGAGCAACTTCCATGGCCGCATAGCATTCCAACGCAAGCTCGTCCTCACCAATGTAAACACATCCAAACAGGAAAGAGTTCCACGAGACTACGTCGCGATCTAAGATCTTATCAAATACCCGGCGTGCGTCCACGATCAAGCTTCCACACTTGGCATACATATCAACCAGACCGCTAGCAAGCGATGGATCTCTCTCCAGGCCAAGCTGCGAGATCCACGAGTGGATTTTCATTGCTTTCTCGAGAGATTCTACGTCTAAATCCCATCTCTTGCGTTGTTTCTTCTCGGCAATTACGCTACAAGCCTTGATAGCGGCGAGGCAAGCTAAACGATCGGGTTTAAATCCTTGTTCTTGCATGGAAGAGAAGAGATGCAAAGCTTCTTCTCCATCTTGGCTTTCCTGAGCATAGCCTGTGATGATCGATGTCCAGGAAACGATGTCGTGCTGCTCCATCGAATCAAACACCCTGCGAGCATCCTCTAGACTTTCACACTTGGCATACAAGTCCACCATCGCGTTCGCCAAGTGTAAATGTTTCCCCGCCTCCAACTTGAAGCCGCGAGAGTTTGATGCGTGAAAGTGAATCGCCATGGCTCGTTCCAAGCTCTTGATCTTCACAGCCAACGACGCATCAATCTCCTCTCGCGCTGCCAGACTAGAGCAAGCTTTGACAGCAGCGAGAAAACTCGAGCAATCTGGATTGATCATAGCAGCTTCCATCTGCGAGAAGAGCTCCAGAGCCAAATCTTCCTGCCGGTTTTGAGCGTATCCCAGAACCAATACCGTCCAGGAGACAACGTCGTGGTTCTCAATCCCATCGAAAACTCGCCAAGAGTCTCTCATGCTTCCACACTTGGCGTAGGTATCCGCGAGACAAGTTGCCAAACGAGCGTACCGCGAGAGCATGCTATCCGAACTCTTGGCAGCTCGAGCGTGGATCGCCATGGTTCTCTCGAGCAGCTTCATCCTCCCCGCGAAGAACTTCCCATTTTCGATCCCTGCTCGTTCTCTCTCGTCCAGAATCACGCAAGCCTTGAGAAGGGCCAGGAGAGTGGGGCCGCTTGGATCGCAGCCACTTCTTTCCATCTGCGAGAACAAATCCAGTGCTATCTCCGGAGCTCCATTCTGGACGTAGCCCACGATGAGCGCAGTCCAGCAAACCACGTCTCGCTGCTCCACCCCCTGGAAAATCCTCGCGGCTTCGTCCAAGCAGCCACATTTGGCGTACATGGCCACGAGAGCGCTGGCGATGTAGATGTTGGCCTCTCCAAACTTCTTGGAGGCCGCATGATGGATCTCCCTGCCCCGTGCAAGATCCTTTGTCCTAGCGCATACCTTGAGCGCCGCTAGCAGCGAGTGTATGGACTCTGATCGCGCGGAGCTCTGGAGAATCATTCCAGGAACATTACCTAAATGTTATCACTTAAACATGATACCTTTGAAAATAAAAGATGCTTAAACGAAGATTCTACCTTTACAAACAAGCCCTGCTACATTTTCCATCGAAATGGTTAGCGTGCACAAAAAACTTTGACCAACACACGGTCTTGAATGAGAAGTTCTGTGATAAATACCTAGCACTAGTAGAGAACTATAGATTAGAGAAATCGATTGGGGGCGGAGGGCAAGCGATGGCATTCTGAAGGAGTGATGAGGTTTTTGCGATCAAGACAGTCCATGGGTCCGATGGGCTGTTTGAAGCTCGAGTGATGGCTATGCTAGAGGTGTCACTCAAGGGTTTGGATGAGTCCACTTTGAGCAGATCGTACGAGAAGAGCCCAATCAGTACGGGGAGGTGTACCACCTTGTTCTTGAGCCGTGCAATTGCAGCCTTCACGACCGGATCAAGTACAAGGGGCAGCTTGATGAGGAAGAATCTGCAAAGATCGTCATAGCTCTCACCATGACATTAAAGAGAGTTCATGATAACGAGATCATCCACTGCGATCTGAAGCTTGCAAATGTTTTGCTGAAGTACCCGTGACCTGGGAAGTTCTATGTCCCAAAGGTGTCCGACTTTGGGACGGCTTGCTGGATAAAGGATCCATGGAACGAGTGTGGCGCTGGGACGTGGGATTATAGTGGTGCTCGATGCTTAATGGTGCTATATCACAACCAGGATGTGTGGGGATTAGGGATGCTGCTTTACACTTGTCTCATCTTGTCCATTCCCAAATATAGATTTGGAAGTGGTATTTAAAAATGCACGCAAGAGAGATCGAAGGTTAAGGAATTTCCATCACAATTCTATGGATTGGGATAGCATTCCATCTGCAAGGCAGCTTATCCAAGGCATGACGGAATTGGATTTTACTTTGGAAATGGTATCTATAGAAATAATTTTGTTCTTATATAAGGACCATGTAAATCTTATATAATGCAAGTTGAATTAAAAAAAAAACAAAAAGTTTGCTCTGTCAATTCTAAATATATTACTTATATCTTATAATTAACAAGAAGATTCACTTTGTCCTTGGATGGGCCGGGTGATGGAGTAGCCTGACCCTGGATGAACATTTCATTTCCGATTCTGATCCACACTCGTCGGTCTATCCGGGCACTTCTCATTCTGGCTGTCGATGCATTGAAGGACCTCCCGGAGACACGCTGCCTTGGAACAAGCTCCCAAGCTCGGCCTGCTGGTTCATCACCGAAAACGAGCCCAGCGTGGAACAATTGATGCTGGTGCTCATCAAAATCACGAGAAGTATCCTTCCACGAGCCATTTTCCTCCACTCCAATAGCAAAACACTAGCTCTTCCCTTTGTCTGATGTTAAAGTTTTCTAGCCTTAGCAAGTTACCATGTAAGTTGATATAACAAAGATCCATAGGGAAGGACAAACCAATTATATAAGCATACGTTTGTCCATTTCATGTATAAAATTAGCAACAGGTGTAAACTTGCTAGTGATTTTCGCCAGCTCAGCTTTATAGGACATGCTGGTGTTGGCAATAGTTGCCCCGGTGACATGTTTTGTAGCGGCGTATGTTATGTAACCCGCAGTAGTGGCGATGGTGGCGTGCACGGCACGGCCTTGCTGTAGTGCTCCAAAGTTGAGGAGCATCTCTAATGTCATTGATTGAAAAAATTGGTGAGTGGCACAGCAGCTGGGCGTGGAATGTTTCCTGTTCTGGGTACAAATTCCTATGAGCTGCATATAAGCTTGTGGTTGTGGTTCGGTCCCAAAATTTGGATGTATTGTATTCGCCTGAGGAAACGTTAGCATATACAACACTCAAACGGTGATAACTTTCTCCATCACTATGAAGCAAACATGTGCGCAATGCAAGAACCTGACCGTCACGGGTTGCTATAACGGCTGCAACATATTGTGCAGGTGGTGTGTGCACCTGATATGGAGTATAATGTAATAATTACCAAGGAGAATTATGTGGTGTTTGAGTTTTGTTCATGAATAAATTACTCAAAACTCTACAACCACGCCTGACTGGGCTATGACCAGTGGTTTTTATCAGAATTTTGTACATAACTAAAACATTCTGAATATTATGCATTGAATTTGCTTGAGAGCCTGAAGACGAATGCTGTCAGATTGGATTTGATTAATTTGAATTTATTCAAGATGGCTACAATGACATTAGAGATGGACAACATTCCAGTTGACTCTTTTTTACATTTCCTCCTAAGGCTTTAGTTCATTTAGGGAGTCGAAAATGTACTATTTAGCTTTCATCACAAGATTCAGCGAGAGCATTGAAGTGGCAGCCCTGAAAAACAAGAGCCATTATGAGGAGACAAACCAGCACAACAGGCTTCATCTTGTTGTTGACGAGAAACAGACTAATGAACTTGGAACGAACAGATGAGGATTGGCGAATTGAGGAACGACACTCACCAATTTATAGCAAGGGACTGTAAGCCAGAGGACAAGGAAAACATTCAGACTGAAAGGCTGCCGGTGCGTTCAGAGTGAACTAAGTCTGTTCTCGATAAGAACAAACGTGTTGAGATGGAATAAATTACTGCAACAATATGAAAAAACAAATTCTGTGTTGAATGTGATAGTACATGCTCAATAGTGGAAGTTCCAGTGTTCCACTATTGAGCATGTACTATCACATTCAACACAGAATTTGTTTTTTCATATTGTTGCAGTAATTTATTCCATCTCAACACGTTTGTTCTTATCGAGAACAGACTTAGTCTACTCTGAACGCACCGGCAGCCTTTCAGTCTGAATGTTTTCCTTGTCCTCTGGCTTACAGTCCCTTGCTATAAATTGGTGAGTGTCGTTCCTCAATTCGCCAATCCTCATCTGTTCGTTCCAAGTTCATTAGTCTGTTTCTCTTCAACAACAAGATGAAGCCTGTTGTGCTGGTTTGTCTCCTCATAATGGCTCTTGTTTTTCAGGGCTGCCACTTCAATGCTCTCGCTGAATCTTGTGATGATGACGACAAAGCCTGCACTGGCAAGATATATGGGAAACTTGGTGGTCATAACTGTCAGAGGAAAGGTGGGAAGCAGTATGGATACCAGGGCAATTGTCTGCGTATCAACAAGGCGATCGGACTTGAGGGAGGATGCTGCTACTTGAGCTGAATGATTCAGAATGACTTGAAAATGAATAACCATAAATAAAAGTTTGTTGGTTTTTGTCTTGAACACTTTCAATAACTGCCCTGCTCGCGGCTTTGAACAGGAGCTGCGCCAATCTGGAGCGCATCACGGACCATCACTTGTGCTCTGGCACGTCTTCAGCTTTGTGGAACTTCCAGAGTCGTTCACAATGCGGGCTGTCTGCAAGTCCTGGTATGATGCTGTGCTCTCTCCTCGTTTCGCTCAGCTGTACAAGGCTACGAGCCACCGCTCGAACCCTGGGCCCTGCTCAGGCTGCGGACAGATCCGCCTATTGACCAGCTTCGTTTGCTTCTTACAAAAGTCGTGTAGAAGCTAAGAGCTATCATGAGGAAACAGACCAGAACAACCTTCACCTTCATCTTGTCGCTACAGAGCCGATCCAGAGCACTAAGAGAAACAGTAGCCTCCGATCCCAACTCACTGTCGCGGTGCCTTGCCCTTCCAACAAGCAAGCTCTACAGCCTTTCTACTGGCGGCCAGCTCAACCTCTTGTCTGCGCCCGTATCTGCATTATCTAAGCTTGTAGTGCGGTTCCAGCTGCACTACGTTTAAAGTCAAAAACCCTAATAGCGAGTAAATGGGGAGATGGGGCGCCTTTGAACAGGATGGGGGTCGCTGCGGCAATCTGGAGCGCATCACGGAGCCATCGCTTGTGCTCCACATCTTCAGCTTTCTGGGTCTTCCAGAGTTGTTCACATTGCGGGCTGTCTGCAAGTCCTGGTATGATGCTGTGCTCTTTCCTCGTTTCGTGCAGCTGTACAAGCCATCGCTCAAACCCTGGGCTGTGCTCAGAGTGCGGACGGATCCGCCTGTTGACCGGTAAGCTTGCTGCTTTCATCATGATCGTTGAAGCAAGTGGCTCTGTAGGGAGCTTCGCTATGACGAGGAGCATTTTGATTATGGCACGAAGCTAGAGAATCACACCGAGCTATGGCGTCCACACCTGAGCTTGAACCAACGTAAGAGATGCAGTCTTCCATTGGGCCCATCAGGTTCGCGTTTCGTGGGCTTGTGTTCTTCCAATGGACTTGTCTGTGGCATGCTCATGGAACATAGAGACTCGGTGACTTTAGCTGTGGGAAACCCGATCACCAACATGTGGAAGGCACTACCGCCTGCTCCAATTGCCTCTCCGGATCGTCCACGCCCAGCCTACCTCAACATCTCCATGGAAGCAGAAATAAACGCAGACAGTAGCTCTTACCAGGTCGTGATACTGTACCAGAAGTACCAGACGCCTGTTGAAGGCCCGACAGAAGATGATGGTGACGACCAAATTTGCTCACTGCAGTACGAATCAGAGTCATGTTCTTGGCATGAAGGCCCGCTCTTCAGCACTTCAAACTCATTGGGATCACCTCTCCGAGGGTGTGCTTTCTTCTACACTGGGGAGAACATATTCCCAGCTTACGATCCGCATTCCAGAGCTTGGTCTCATGTAGCTATCTCGCCACCAGCACGTACCGAACAAGAACAAGAACAGGAAGACGATAGCTGGGCAAACTGGTCTTTTGGATACATAGGTGCCTTCATGTACAAGGGGAAATGCTACTGGGCATCGTTCATGTTCAATGCAGAGACATTTGAAGACATTGGAGTGGCAATCTGGGAGATGAAACAGGAAAACTCAACGTGGGTCTTGGTGTCGCGGATTCTGTCCACGGACCTGTTTGGACCCAATTGTTGTTCGTCAGTGGGGGACAAGGATATGACCGTGAGGCTGGTCGAGGACACCGCTTTCATCTCGGTTTTCTATAGGAAGGAAAGCCATGGGGTGTGGCCTCCTGTTGCGTACGACTTTCTTCTGTCCAAGTGGTATACTTGCTGCATGGAGAACATGGAGAACGAGGATATTGAGTGCAATTATGTGGTGATACCCAGCCTAACTGCCAAGCCTTAACAGGATCTCCATATGTAGGAAACGAGAAATTTTCAGATCATACTAGTGAATGGAATGTTTCCTGTTCTGGGTACAAATTCCTATGAGCTGCATATAAGCTTGTGGTTGTGGTTCGGTCCCAAACTTTGGATGTATTGTATTCGCCTGAGGAAACATTAGCATATACAACACTCAAACGGTGATAACTTTCTCCATCACTATGAAGCAAACATGTGCGCAATGCAAGAACCCGACCGTCACGGGTTGCTATAACGTATTGTGCAGGTGGTGTGTGCACCTGATATGGAGTATAATGTAATAATTACCAAGGAGAATTATGTGGTGTTTGAGTTTTGTTCATGAATAAATTAGTCAAAACTCCAAGTTCCCCAAGGAGGACCCTTACAACCACGCCTGACTGGGCTATGACCAGTGGTTTTTATCAGAATTTTGTACATAACTAAAACATTCTGAATATTATGCCTTGAATTTTTTTGAGAGCCTGAAGACGAATGCTGTCAGATTGGATTTGATTAATTTGACTTTATTCAATGATGGCTACAATGACATTAGAGATGGACATGACTCATTTTTACATTTCCTCCTAAGGCTTTAGTTCATTTAGGGAGTCGAAATGTACTATTTAGCTTTTATAGCTACTTGAAGTTTTCCCAACGCATGATTTAATAATGCCCGCTACACGTGGTATAATAGTATTGCCCCAGCCCAGGCTTGTAGGGTAACTTCGTAACACTAAAAATTGGGATGTTGCTCCTCCATTCATGACTCATTTCATGTTGATTAGTCTGTTTCTGTTAACAAGTCTGCTGAGCAACAAGATGTTACTTACTTATTCTTGCACTGATTTGGAGTTAGTAGGCTTTGTTTTTTGCACTTTCTTGATTGAACCTTGATTTCAGCCTTTAAACCTTGTAAGAACTTTGGTGCTTTTATTTATAGCACTATGAACAACTCTGGAAGACCCAGAAAGCTGAAGATGCGACGGATCCGTGATGCGCTCCATATGCGATCCTGTTCAAAGCCGCCCCATCTCCCCATTTTCTCGCTCAGGTGCACCTAGGGCAGTTATTGTTCAAGCCAAAAACCAGATTTATTTATGGTTATTAATTTTCAAGTCATTCCGACTCATTCAGCTCAAGTAGCAGCATCCTCCCTCATATCCAATCGCCTGGTTGATCCGCAGACAATTGCCCTGGTATCCATACTGCTTCCCACCTTTCCTCTGACAGTTATGACCACTAAGTTTCCCATATATCTTGCCAGTGCAGACTTTGTCCCCAGGATTACAAGATTCAGAGAGAACGTTGAAGTGGCAGCCCTGAAAAACAAGAGCCATTATGAGGAGACAAACCAGCACAACAGGCTTCATCTTGTTGTTGAAGAGAAACAAACTAATGAACTTGGAACGAGCAGATGAGGATTGGCGAATTGAGGGACAACACTCACAAATTTATGGCAAGGGACTGTCAGCCAGAGGACAAGGAAAACGTGGAAAATGTTCAGACTGAAAGGCTGCCGGTGCGTTCAGAGTAGACTAAGTCTGTTCTCGATAAGAACAAACGTGTTGAGATGGAATAAATTACTGCAAAGTGAGTCTGACAATATGAAAAAACAAATTCTGTGTTGAATGTGATAGCACAAGCTCAATAGTGGAACACTCGAACTTCCACTATTGAGCATGTACTCACCTTTGTTCATACAATTATGATAATCAAATTTCCCAGACATTTGGGATTGAAAAACGAGAGACGTCATCACAAATCAGTGCCTGCATGCTAAGATTAAATCTAATATTGCCAATCCAGGTAAAATCTAGGCAACCTTGGGATGTTGAGGGGGGGTCTGATCTACCTCGATTGCCAAACCCTGAGCACAAGACAAGGAGCTGCTGCTGCCCCTAAAGGTTATGTGGAAGAATGGCTGCAATTTGTTTGGGTGACCTATGGTTATCTAGACATATCATAGTGAATTTGGTTGATTAATATTCAACATCATTTTGAAGCTTTTAAGAGTTTGAGGAGCAAACCTTGCGTATCATCTAAGGATCACAAGGCAAATATTGCAAAAAGAGTTCCATATCAGCTGCATGGATGCTGCTCAACCTTGAATTTCGAACTTGCAACATTAAGGTGCCTAGGTTTGGTCAGATGCTTGCATATTCTGGATTGCCAATGTTGTGTTCAAAGCCGAATATCAAAAGAGGTCCTAAAGCTCACAAGAACATGCAATACCTGGAAAGTTCACGACAACAGCATTATAAACAACACTTTCAAGATGGAGCACTTTAAGGAGATTTAGTTCATTCAACAGCTCCAATGGTAGCAATGGATCCACATTTGCTCACAATTCTTCTAAGATATTATGGCTACAAGGCAGAAAATCGCTGCCAGCATTTTACAAAGGTAAAAAAGTTGTTGAGAGGGTTTGGAGTGCTAAATTCAGCAATGCAGTCAAGGTATTTCCTCCTAACTTTGCATGATGAAGCTGATTCATGGTTTGCTATGGTGAATATGGAATCACCTCCTCTACTCATGATGCTCAAGATCATGTTTTTGAAGTGGTTTGAACCTACAATAACAAAGGAAATGGTAATGATAGAGTGAGACGCATTCAAACAAAGACCAAATGAATCTATCCAAGCCTATAATGAGAGAGTTTAGGTGTATGATGCACGGTGCCAAGAATATGGAGTTGATAACAACAGTCTATGAATGGTGAAGTCTTATAGAGACTTTTTGCATTCAATTTTAATAGGTGAGTTTGGTACAAAGATCCATCAACATTGCAAGCAACAATGAAAGAAGCTATTGCGCAAGATAAAAAGCGATTGCAAGAACTAGGGCCTATTATCAACAATGTGTACCATGCTTAACTGCTTCCACAATCACCATGCTTTCTACCTTAACAACAAAGGAGTCATCATCAGCAAGAGCAAGATATGCAAGGATCTCAAACTACCTTCAATGCAACATATCTATATCAAGATGTAACTACTAGACAGAGTCAGCAGTTTGGGCAGCAATAGGCATATTCATAATCAAATAATTATCCATCATACAAACCTCCATGGTTATTGTGCATCACAACAGCATTCAAGTGATTACAATTCATACCAACATCTTTGTTATGCATGTGATGAATACGACCATGATGATGAGCATTGTGCAATAAGGCAATGGATCTACATAAACATTGGTTATGATTAGTTAGCAAACACTTGGCCAACTTCATCAAAAGCACGAGGGGTCTTCACACAATTGTTTCTTGACAGTTGCCTTCTTAATCTTGCAATGGCTAGCTCCATTAATTACTTTATTGATTGCCTCAACCACTTCAGTTTTATTTGAATGTTGTGGTTCCAACTAGTGCTTAAAGATTGAAAACTTAGATAAGTTCCTAGGTTATCCAAGCATACATGTTAATTTTGACTTTGGTTTTGGAAGTTTTTGTTGAAGATGATTTTGATTTGCTTGGGTTTTGTGCAATAGAGCTACCTTGCAATGAGTTAAAGGTTGCATCTTATAACTTGATAGAGGATGGTTTTCATCAAGCAACAACTACTAAAAAGGTTGAACATCTACAATAAGATTTAGTTCCAACCATTTCAAGTTTAACAATCAAGCTAGTGACAACTACTCTTAGCTTCCAACCTTTATAGAGTTGTTTTAAGGATGTGAAACAAGTACTTCATATTTTTTAAGCCTTTATTTAGGTGTTTGTTGCAACATCAACTAGTTTCTAGTACAAAGATTGGTTTGGACTAATCAAATACAATATCAACAGGTCTTATTCCACTACTAAATTTTTTGACAACAACATCAATAGTTTTTTTCAAGCAAGCTCCTCTTGAGTGACATTTACAATAAACTCTGACCTCAATGACTAGTTTCAAGCAAGCTGATTCTATTTTGCATTCACAAGTTCTTTACCAGCGACCCAATAGGTTTCAACCACTTCATTACACTCAACTAGCAAATCACTTAACAAGAGGTGTTTTCATCAATTTCAACTTCATCATGATGTCATTGGTTACTTGGGTTTTTGTACAAATGGTCCATGTTGTCAACTTTTCTCGAGCTTTTCACAATGATGACAATTCCCTTAGTGTTGGCAATAGTTGCCCCGGTGACATGTTTTGTAGCGGGGCGAGCCTATGTTATGTAGTCTCCTTATTTTCCCGGCGCTAACTTTTTTTGTGTAAACTTTGATCAGTTAGAAAAACTGGAGCTCGTTCCGAGTCAGAGTGTAAGCTGCTCGGAAGCTAATCAGTCTTGATTTGAACAGATGGCTTCTGGTTTACGAGAAAGGCGCCAGAGAATTGACTGTTTACCAAGCGTGAGGGAGAAGAACACTTCTATCAAAGTTGGAACACAACTATTCAGAGATTAATAATTTATAAACACAATTTATCAAATAGAAGTGTTTTAAGTACTAAAACATGTTTTTATATAGTACATTAATTGTATCAAAGCACTATGTTAGTTTATCGTGTACGTTTAAGTTAAAAACAAAATTGCCGTCCACTTCTTCTTATTAATCAAGAATGGCATAGCATGTATTGAGTGAGTGGATTCTTAATTTGGGGCTTATATTTCTTCAAAGATGACTAGTTCAGTATTCTTTCTTGTCTTCTTAGCGGTTGCCATTCAGGTAAATGAGAATTTTATCACTGAAAAGATTAAGAAGACTATAACTTCTTTTGTATGCTAGGTGCAAGCATGCGGGCAATTTAGAAATTCCTGCAGTGAAGTCCATGTGTCCAAGGACGGCACGGTCACTACGAATTGTGCTTCCAAATTGACTCTCACATTTGGTGGCTCGCCTTTTTTCCTTTGCAACGATGAAGGTTCTGTCTGCAGCTATGAAATCAAACATGGAAAACTCGAAGTTGTAGACCTGGATACCTGTATATCATTTGTCACAGATCATCTGGAGGCTTGTGACCCATGCGCGTAATTACAAAGGATGTAACTTCTATAGATGATATCAATGACTACGTGTTAAACAGTACTAATCTATACTCAAGGTTTGAGTGTCTTTGGAAGTCTGTGTGTAGGAATTTGCGAGCATGACATAGGGGCCGCACTCACCCGACTCACGACCCGCAAACAGATCCTTGGCAGCAGCCTTGGCACCGAGGAAAGTCTCCCCGGTGGCCTTGCAAGCCGCGAGCAGCGTCGTCCACGCCACCGCGTCCGCCTTGAACGGCATCCTCTCGATAAACCTCTCAGCGTCGGCCAGCCTGCCGGAGCGCGCCAGCAGATCGATGATGCACAAGCAGTGCTCCGCGTCGGGGAGAATGCTGTAGTCGCTGGTCATGGATCCAAAGTAGGCCAGCGCCTCGTCAACGAGCCCAGCATGGCTGCACGATGAGATGAAGATGATGAAGGTGACGGCGTTGGGTGTGTGGCCCTCGAGCTCCATCCGGTGGAACAGATCCATGGCGCGCGACCCTTTGCCATGCTGCGCATGAGAGCCGATGATCGACGTCCAGGTGACGATATCAGTGGCGGGCATCCGATTGAACACCGCCCTCGCGGTCTCTAAGCTCCCGCACTTGCCATACATGTTCACCAGCGCGGTCTCGAGGAAGCAGTCGAGCTCCACGCCACTGGTGGCGATGGCGGCGTGCACGGCGCGGCCTTGCTGTAGCGCTCCAAGGTTGAGGCACGCGTCGAGCGCGCTGACGAAGGTGATTTGGTTTGGGCGGAAGCCATCAAGGTTCATGGCGTGGTAGTGGTGGAGCGCCTCGCGGAACATCCCGTTCTGGGCGTAGGCGCCGATGAGCGCCGTCCAGGAGATCACGTCGCGGTTCTTCATGGCGTCGAAGAGTGATCGGGCGCCGCCAACGCAGCCGTGCTTGCCGTACATGGTCACCAGTGTGTTGGCGAGGAAGAGATCTTCCTCCAGCAGCGAGCTCTCGGCGAGGAGGCGCTTGACGTAGTCGACCTGCGCGAGGGTGGCGAGGCCTACGACGATGGTGCTCATCGTGAACTTGTCCGGCTTGATCCCCTCGAGCTGCATCGCCTGGAAGAGCGTGAAGGCCTCGCCGTGGCCCTGGCCATTGTGTGTGTAGGCGGCCAGCATCGCGTTCCAGCTGATGATATCTCGCGCGGTGAGGCGATCGAACGCGGCTCTAGCTTCGTCCAAGCTCTTGCACTTGGCGTACATGGTGACGAGCGAGGTGGCGACGATGGTGTCACTGGTATCCATTCCCAGGCTGCGGATCACGCAGTCGTGGAGACGCCGGCCTTCCTTGAGAGCTCCCACGGCCGAGCATGCATTGAGAACGGTCGAGAGAGTCTGCGAGTTTGGCCGGACTCCATGGAGGAGCATCGCGGCGAAGACCCGGATCGCCTCCCAGCCCTCTCCAGCATCGATGCACGCCGCCACCATCGCCGTCCACAGCCCAACGCTGCCGCTCACGTCGCTGCCGGAGAGTCCTTCTCTTTGATCTTCCTCGCTAGCCGCAAGAGCCGATTCAAAAGCTTGTCTGGCTTCGTCCAGGCTCCCGCATTTCCCATACAAGTTGACGAGCCCGGTTGCGACGATCAAGTCCGAGAGAAATCCCGCGCTCGCCACCCTCTCGTGGACCTTTCTCCCCTCTACGACGTCCGCGAGCCTCGTGTAGGCGCTGAGCGCGGTGCTAAACGTAAAGTTGTCCGGTTGCACGCCCTCCTGGTACATGGCCTTGAACATTCCCACAGCTTCCTCCAGATGCCCGTTCTGGGCATACGCCGAGATCATCACGTTCCACGACCGCCGGTTTCTTTGCGTGATTCGGTCGAACGAGAGACGTGCATTCTCGACGCTGCGGCACTTGCCATACATGGTGACGAGCAAGTTGCCGAGGTGGACGCCCTGGTCCTGCCCAGACGCGGCCAGGAGAGAGTGAAGTCGCTTACCTCGGGCGATGTCTCGGGCCCTCGCGCAGTCGTGGAGCTGCTCGGCGGCGAGCTCGCCATCCAGCAGGGGCGCATTGGGCGATGGATCCTTGGGCTGGAAGAACGACGACGAGGCATTGCTCGTCTCCTCCGGCAAGCACTGCTCTGCGGCAACAGCACCCATCTCGCTCCGTCTTCTTCTTCTTCTTGTTGAACTTTCATGATCGCTTCTCGAGAGTGCCGCCACTGTATTTGCAAATGCCGCGGCTTCCATGGCCTTCTCATCACCACCTCTCGTCTCTCGCGCGCTTCAAGGTAGCCAGTTTACTTAAGTTGACCAGCATTTGACCAGCTGTCGAAGCGTCCAAGAACGAAAAGATAATGAATCCACTAGCTCTCTCTCTCTCTCTCTCTCCAATGGCTTGGGATATTTCGCGAGGACGACCAGCGCGATGACCATGCACCGGCCATCCGCGCTACGGCTTCACCAATCGCCTATTCAACGACGATCGCGGCGCGTCGCAACCACGACGAGATCTTTAATCAGTTTCTTGGCCGATGCAGACTAGTCTATTCTCTCTCGCGCACGGCGGCGAGCACATTTCTTCCAGCTCTCGTCGCGGCCTCTTCACGTCGGCAATGTGCGATCACTCGATGATCTTCTTGCCCGCGATCCTGGACGAGTACCGGGGATTCGCCAGCGCTGCCCGCGCATCCAGCTCGCCAGGGAGAGAGGAAGATATGGAGAACTTGTTTGGTGCCAAGAGTGTATTGAAATCGTGCCTGGCGACTCAGCAACTTTTTGTGGAATTTTCAGCTGGCTGACTTTGAAAAGTTGGAGCTCGTTCCAAGTAAGAATGTGAGTTTCTCTCACTTGGAAGTTAATCAGTCTTGTTTTGAACAGATGGCTTCTCTGGTTCATCACCAAAAATGACCAAGCCTGGAAAATCGATGCTGCCACTGATCAAAATCACGAGCACGATGGCGAGAAGTATCCTTCCACGACTCCCGCAACAAAACTCTAGCTCTGCTGCTGATATGATTTTTATCGTTGTATAAAAACCAAGTGACTTTCAGTGCTCGCGTCTCCAGAGAAGTGTGTCCTTCTCCCTCGGGCTTGGTAAACAGTCAATTCAGTGGCGCGCGTGCTCGTGGACCCAGGCCGAGATTGGAGGCAGCGCAATTGCATCGACAGCCAAGTTGAGGAGTGCCGTCTTCGAAATGCTCATCCAGGATCAGCCGAGGGACAAATGCGACTAAAAGAAGTCCATGGCAATCAAAACGAATTGACTAAAATACAGGAAAGTGTTTAAAGGACTCTTAAAAGAGTGGAGGTGAGTTTTATTTTTTGCCAAGTAGCTATGGCTCGCAACATCATCGCCGCGCCGCCGTCGCCTTATGGAGAGCACAACACGAGGAAGAGCACGAGGCCACCGCCGCATCATCGTCGGGCGCATCCGCCGTCCCCACCAGAGGCATCAGCAAAGCCCATGAGGCACAGCAGTGCCACAAAGGCTACAGGGCAGCAGCCGCTGCCACCTTCTTCCACAACAACCACTTGGCTACCGAGGAGGTATGGGCCACCGCCACCTTCTGCTCACGACTCCGTAACGTGGCAACCAAGGTCACCATCGCCACCATCGCCTGGCTGGAGCTCCTCCTCTATCGCTCCGCCTCCGCCAGCATTGTCGTCACCATCTTCAGCAGCAGTAGCAGCGTTTGTCACACCGCCTGGGCTGCTCGCGGCAGGCATCATCATGTTCCTGCTTGCTGTGGTGGCCATCGTCAGCAGCATCTGGATAGTCGTGAAGAGGAGAAGAAACAACGGCAAGGTCCTGGTGCACTTCATCGGGAGCAGCCATCTTCCTCGCGGTGCCAGCAGCAGCAATGGCAGCGAGAATACCTCGTTCCCTTGAGCGTGATTGAGGACTCACGTCTCAGGGACAAGCTCAATTCCTTCGTTGAAGAGAAGCTCAATTCCTTTGTTGGAGAGAAGGAGCAGCAGCAGCTTGGAGAGGAGAAGCAGCAGCTTGGTCGACTGTCGCAGCTAAATGCCAACAGGAGAAAAGTGGCTGGTCCTCTAGTCTTGAGGCCTCCAAGGCGACTACCACTCCTACCTTCGGCATTTCTCATGGTGGATCCAATCTTTGGTGCACCAGCTCAAGACCGCCTGCTGCTGCCAATTCTGGAGCTGTCTACTGCCTCAATGGAGTACCAACGTTTGCCGTTTCTCGGTGTCTACCATCCTACGGTGGATCCAATCGTAGCACCAGCTCAAGACCGCCCGCTGCTGCCAATTCTGGAGCTGTCAACTTATCAGGGAGCCTCATTGGAGTACCAACCTTTGCCGTTTCTCGGTGTCTACCATCCCACGGTGGATCAAGTCCGGCTGCTGCCACCAATTCCGGAGCTGTCAACATATGAGGACGAGCCGCCAAAGACTGATCAGGTCCAGCAGGGAGCCTCGGTGGAGTACGTCCATGGCCCTGTTCCCTTGGAGCAAATAACTTCGCAAGGTCGGGGGCACGAGGATCCAGTGCCGAGTGTTGCACGTCCAAGCGTCAACAAATGTGACCAAGGAGACGTTGTGGATCCAGTGTCTTGTCCTGGCATTGTGTTCGATCCTGGAGATGCTATCGCTGCTCGGCTAGCGACAGCAGCAGAGAAGCGAGCGGAGATGGAGAAGGAGATCCACAAGGCCATCCGTGACGCGTGCATCGCCGAGTGTGAGCGGCTCGAGGCGAAGCGCAACCGCCACAGGCAAGTCTAAAGTTGTGTTGATAGAGTATGACTAATGGAGGTGTTATAGGAACCGTAAGCTTCATCGGAGAAGCCCGAGGTTCAGTCTGGAACATCACGTTTGGCTGCTGACGTGCACAACTCCTTGCCCAAGGCCAATACGAGCCTTAAGGTACCATTTTTTGAGTGAAGGTTAACGTTTGTTTGAACTAGTTTTCCACCGAGGAGGTTTAACGCTGCAGCCCGGAGCTTAGAGGCGAAACGAGGTACGCTTTTCCAGTCGTTTTGGATTCATCATATGCTCTGGTTTGCAGGCGGGATGAAGAATCACAACTAAACGGTTTTTCTAAACCGCATTAGTGCCGGAGCAAATAGCTCCCGCATTCAATCAAAATTTCAATATCTGGAGTGAAAAGAGATTGTCATCGTCAATCATACTTGACGATTGCAAGTCAGGCTCAGAAAAGGTTGCGCTTGGATTGCCAAGAAATTCACAGCTGAGAAAGAGATTGAAGACACGGACGATTATTGAGACATTTAGATTGCTTTGTTTAAGGGGACTTTTGCACTCACTTTTAAATTGAAGTTTTTAAATTAAAGGATTTTAACCTAATTTAAAATTTTAATGCTGTTCTGCATTTACTCATTATGTCTTTACCAATGAAAATCCGTTCACATAACCATTTATATTAGGTTATTTAATCACACTTAGTATCTTCTATGCTACAGTGACTGTGGAGGTGCTGTGAATCCCCACAGCTCCAATATATTGGGAGCGCTCTCAAGACCCTAGTAGGTAGCGATTGCAGCGATTGAGTGCAATTGATCGATGGGTAGCAACCAGAGTCCTTCACAACTCTAGTAGCGTAAGGATTGATTGATTGCATAGCTCGAGCGATTGATTGGCACATTGACAGCACCCTACCCTTCTCGATCTTAGCATCGTCTTGCGCAGAGAAGAAATTGAAAAGGGGACTCCCTTAAGAAATATTCTTGAATATTTTAATTCTAATGCTAGAAAAGTGCAGCATTAGGATTTTAGGGAAAAATACAAAGGAAATGCTAATTTTACCATTAGTTTAATTTAATGGTAATTTTTGGTCTGAACGAGTTACCATTAAGTTAAACTATTAAATTAGAATTTCCAAAAACTAATGTAATAGCGTGGTGGTGTGAACACATTACAATTAAATTAACTTATTTAATGGTGGGTGCAAAACGCCCCTAAATCACTAGAACTGATTTGAAATTTGAATGGAAGGTTATAATAATATTCTCTAATACAAATAGATATAGCATATTCTAGATATAAATAATACGTGCTCATTTTTCCTGATTCATAATTTCTAATACGCATAGATATTAGCATATTCAAGATACGAAACGTAAAAAATATGAATAATAATAGCTAGATGAAACGCTTTTTAAATGCTTTTCATTTGAAAGTTGAAAAACAGATTTGTCTTTTGGGGATGTAAGGAATGTATAGAAACAATTCCAGGCATATTTTTTATATTAATTGTAACAGTTGTGATGTTCTACTCTTAAACTTTTCTATTTAATTAACAAGAATAATTTTTTTAATTTTAAATTAAACTAAAGTTACAGTTTCAGATTAAAATTAATAAGATATTAGGAGTATTAAATAATGCTTGGACATTCTGGCATATTTTAAGAGTTGATATACATTTAGAAACATGTCTCAGATCATGCTCACAAAAGTCAATTATTTCACTAAGTACCTACAGTGCATGCAATGCAGCACAATCCAGTACAATGTACCTTATTCCCTTCTGGCCATGCCAACCATTTAGTGATATGGCAACTTCCCATACAATAATCCAGCTTCAAATTCAACATGAGAATAAAAGTAGGTGACAGTATAAATAAAAATCCTACTTTCTCTATTACTGTAAATCCATCATCTTTTTCTAGTAGCTCCTTAGATCAGGGAAAAAGATCACCATGTCCAAGTAAGTTCTTTAAGTTATGTTAAAAAAACATTCTCGAAATTATGACCAGGAAAAAGGAGCCTGTATTGAAACTAGCAAACCAAAAAATATACAAGAACTCAAAGTTTGAGAATATACCAAGAGTATGCAAGTAAAAAGACCCTTTTGTCGTCGTTTTGTATTCAACAAACATTGGTTTTCTGTTTCTTTGGAGAGTGGAGAGTGGAGTGGAAGCTTCGTCAGTCTCATCCTCTCATCCGTTTGGCTTGCTGTTGGTGCTGATGAAGGGTCAACTCCGATGCAGCTCTCTTGCCGTCGTGTACAAACGGACACTTGAGCCCGTTCCTGCACCCCTTCGGCGTGTTGAAATACGCACACGTCCTGCTGTTGCGTGCCCTGCTCATCCCCTTGTTCCCTGTCTCCATCCCCGGAACCAACCCATTGCCATAGTAACCATTCTGGTTTCCTGCGAGACCACCGCCACCACCACCACCACCACCACCACCACCATTAGCACCGTGTTGCATGACAAGATCCCGGAAGTAGAGCTCGCTTTGCCTCGTCAAATTCTGTTGCTGCTGATGTTGCTGCGGCTGCGAGGTGGGATACATAAACTGTTGCTGCTGCTGCTGCGGTTGAACCATCATCGGACTCTTGTTCATGGCTGAAAACCCCCCGAAGATCTCATCGCTCGTCGACACCGAAGCCCGCTGAGCTTGAAAGGGACTGACCCAAGCCGGAGCTGACGACGAAGAAACCGAAGCTGTCCCTGGAGGAGCCGGAGCTGGAGCAGAACCAGAGCTAGAAGCAGCCGGCGGGGATGATCCGAGAGAAGGATGCGGCGGCGGCGGTGGCGGGGGATATGAAGAAACAGCAGCCGCCGCCTCTGAAAAACCCATGGACGAAACATTTTGGGTGATGGTGCTAACAGTGGTGGAGTTACTGGTTAAGTTCTTGACTCCTGCCACCAATTGATTCGGAGGCACTGAACCATTTCCATTTGATGTATTTACCAATGAATTGTTTCGTACACCCGAAAGGGTCTCAACGAGCGACGGGTTTGCTAGCAATTGTAAAAGCAGGCTTGGGTCTATGGCGCTGCTCACAGCCGCCGCCGCCGCCGCGGCCGCTGCGACACCAGCACCACCGCAGTAGCTTCTCGCGGCGGCGGCGGCGGCGATGGCGGCCTCGTTAGAAACTGCCGTGTGGTTAAACCCGTAGCTGTTGTATGGCCTATCACACCCAGTTTTACCTTGCCCCGATGTGGAGGACGAGGAGGGTGCCTCGTCCCCGTCCGAGTCTTCGTCCGGAGCTGACACGGGGATAACCAACACTAGCCTGTCGTCCAGAGGGGGCTGGATCTCATTTGGAGCTTCCGAAGGACTGTGGACACAAAGACTTGGATTAGCGGGCCGGCCGAAACAGCGAATTGAAACAGGGAAAGAACTAGGGACTGACCTGCTGGGGATCGCGGTGGAGCGTGGATACACTGCTTCTAGAGTTTTGGTCTCCCGTTGTCGCTGGATTTCTACCTCGCTGCTCCCTTCGCCAGCTTCTACGTGCCACGAGGAATCTAGTTCGATCTGCGAAAAGGGTGGAAGTTTAGAAAGAGCAAGCGAGATGGGCGATGTTCCACTACCTTTTGGGGGGACTTCCAGGGGATAGCGGCAGCTACAGAGGCAGCAACAAGCTCGGCATCGGTCTTCAAGCACGAAACCACGCCGCCGCCAAATCCCGGAGGAAGATCATCGGTTCTTTGCATAAAGGTCGACGTTTTCCCTTGGAGCTCGTCTTGGTCTTGTGGAATTCCGGCACGAAAGGGAGCGTCTTCCGCGAGAAACATGCGCACCTGGAACACACAACCCTTTTAACATACACATTCACAAAAAGAAATCACGCTTGCCATCTTACCTGACAAAGATGATCCGCCGGTGCCCATGAAACCCTCTTTCCCCTCGAACGCCGGAGCCTAGTCGGGGGATTTTCGTGTGGCCGCATCATCGCCAGGCCCCCAAATCCCGGGGGCAACGAAGTCGTGGCCGCCATTCACAAAATCGAGGCTAAAGAACTAGACGAGACGCTCGATTCGCAAAGGAATTGCCTGCTGCTACACTAGGAAATCCTATCTATTTCTCAAGAAAACAAGAAAAAGGGACCAGATCTGCTCCAAAATTTCTCCCAGATCAAATCCTCAGAGAAAGAAACGAGACGCAGCACAATGGCGCTACAACACGCCCTCGCCTTGCCGTCGCCCCGCCGCTAGGGTTTCATACCGGACGCCATAGCCACCCAACAGTGCTAAAGACACGATAGCCATGCGATTTCCCCGTGTGCCGCTTAATCACGCCATCCAACGGCTGCCAGCACGAAACATGGACGGTGCAGATTGAGGCCAATCGCCAGCCCTAGTCACTCGCAGCCGTTGGATTGAGGGGCTGGTGATAAACCCTAATTCCCAATCCAAGCCCTCGACAGCGCAAGGCGGCTGCGGCGTCTGGCAATGGTAAGTGTTCTTCGCTTTGATCCTGGATGCGGGAGCTCAGATCCATCGCATTCCCGGATTGTAGGGATTCAGGCGCTTTGTCGAGATCGGCCGGGTCGCCTGTATCAACTATGGCGAAGATTACGGCAAGCTCGTGGTGATTGTGGACGTGATCGATCAGAACAGGGTAAGCCCAAGCTTGCAAGCGCGCTGTAGAGGCTAGACATTGTGGTTTTTTTTCCCAGGCATTGGTCGACTACCCCGGCATGATCAGAACGAGCATGAATTTCAAGAGACTGGCCCTCACGGACATCAAGATCGACATCCCCAAAATGCCCAAGAAGAAGAACCTCCAGGCAGCCGTCGAATCTGCTGGTGAGAGCCTCGCTTTTCCTCTCTTCTCTTTGTTCTTTCCTCTAGTTCCAGTACTTACAAAAAACTTCTTTTTCTCTCTTGTTTCTCTATAGAGGTCCAAAAGAAATGGGAGAACAGCTCGTGGGGACGCAAGCTCATCGTTCAGAAGAAGAGGGCTTCCCTGAACGACTTCGACCGCTTCAAAGTCATGGTCGCCAAGGTCAAGGTACGCAAGAGCAATAGCGTTTCGTGGTTTTCTCGGAGTTCACGGGTTTTTGCTGTTGCTTTTCTCAGAGGGCCGCGGTTGTGAGGCGCGAGCTTTCCCTGCTGAAGAAACAAAAGGCCTAGAGACGCATTCTTACGCTCTAGCGAAGTTTTGTTTTGGTGTTGGTCGTAAGTCGTAACCAGACAGTGTTTCGTTTCTTGTAACACAGCCTTACATTTTGGAAGAAAAGAAAGCTCTCTTCGATTCTCTTCGCCGTGGAAACCTATGGAAACAACTTTGGAGCCTACGTGGAAACCATGATCGAAACAACTTTAGCTACGAGAATGACGAGAGGAGCTTTACTTTGGTGTCTTTACGTATCAATCAACCAATCAATCAACATTACAGTGGGAACACTTCTTTGTTGCGTACGTTTAATCACAAGGGAAGAATCGTCTGACGGTATGTTGCCTAAAGCGGCCGCGTGTGCTGTGTGTGTGTGTGATCATCAAATCAACTTTGATCTTTCATCGTCTCTCACCTAACTAGTGGCGACTTTTCCAACTGGTCCGGGCTCTTACAATCTCGGATCCACCCGTCTGCATCCGGAGGAGATGAATAAAGTCAAGCTGGGAAGGTGGCGCGGCTGCCGCTGCTGCTGCTGCCGCTGCTGCTCCATTGATTGCCAGATGCCCCCCCCGCTCCGGATGCGTCAGAGACTCCACCATATCGGATTTGCTGCACTCGCGCCGGTACTCGAGCGTGATCCCAACCAGGTGGTGGCTCTCGAGAATGTTCTGGGGAAGACTCTGCGCGTCCCATGGAAAAAGAAAGGAGTAAAGAAAAGAGCGAGCGAAGACGAAGACGAAGAGATCAATTAAGCAAAACGAGCAAGGCCAGGAAGACCAACGGAGAGATCACGCAAAAGAAGCAAGCCGGAAAAAGATGCCAAGGAAGGAGAGCAAGAGAAAGAAGCAAGCCGGAAAATGAAACCAACGAAAAACGAACTTTGAAGAGATGAGAAGAAAGAGCGAACAACGAAGAGATCTAGCAAAGATCAAACATAGAAAAGAGAGCACGAGAACAAAGAGATCAGGCAAAAGACGCAACAAACAACCGAAGAAAAACTCGGCAGGCCAAGAGTAAAACGAAGAGATCACAAGGGAGAAAAGACCGACCTCCATCATCCAGGTGAGATACTTGACGTTGTTTACGTGCTGGTTCATGTCCAGGTCGCTGTGCCGTGGCTGCGACAAGAGAAGAAACTCTTTCAATCTGCGCTAGCTTTGCAAGATCAAGACGCTTTTACCGTGAGGTTGGAGCGGATGTAGCGCGTGTTGCTGTTGTCCAGCTTCTCAATCTTGGAGCACGACTCCTCGGGAATGAAGGCCGTTCTGGAGAGGAACCACGGCGAGATCTCGGCCCGGACCAAGTCCGGCATCTTGGATAGCCGTCTCGTGTCCTTGTGCATCATCACCCAAGTGCTGCAAAACAGAAGCGAAACAGAAGCTTGAGAGACAAGTCCAACACTCCTTGGACACAACACAGCATCCAGGACAAAGAAAACACGTAAAGAACAGGGTGGTAGAGGGCGGAGAGAACAAACCTGGTGGCTCTTGCGAGAATGGAGCCCGTCTTGTAGTCGCGAACCAGCCAGTCCCGCCGCATGCCATTCTTCCCCGAGGCTCCCACCCAAGTATCAATCTCGAGAGCGTTTCCCCTGTAACGACGAAGATGGAAGATCTCCGCGAGTAAGAACACGAAGAAGAAGAAGAAGAAGAAATGGCGATGGTGGAGGAAATGAAACGTACCAGGCTGGATACCGCTCGACTTGCACTTGCATGCGCGTCACGACCCAGATGAGATTATTTCTTATCATCTCATGCGTTGTGCCAAACCCGTTCCCGGCCAGCCCAGAGATGAGAACGTGATTCAGAGCTGTCTCCTGCAACAAAACGCCAAAGGTAACCACAAAAGCCTCCGAAGAACACGAGAAAGAAAGGAAAAGAAAAGAAGAAAAACAAACAAACAAGACATGCGATCGCGCTTCGCCGATCGATCGATATCTTTCGGACCAACCAATCGATCGCTCGGGCAAAAGAGAGCGAGACAATGTCGAGAGTTTTTTTTTCTAGTACCTGGAAGAGATTGAGAAAGGTGTCGAGTGTGGCCGTCTTGTCCGGGCCGACCTCGTAGGAGCGCACCACGAACGTTTGCCGGTACACCACTCTCTCCACCAATCGCCCCTGCTTGAGCGTGTCCACGCCGCCGCCGCCATGGTGGTGGTGGTGGTGCTGTTCTTGATCCTCCACCACGCCGGGCACGATCGCAATCTGCGTCACTCCAGCGATGGCGGACAGAACCGCGCCGCTCAGCGCGTAGCTCGTCTCGGACGCCACCGAGAGCACCGCGGCGGCCTTCTGGGACAGCACGGAGCTGATCGAGAGGTACGGGAGGAGGGAGGAGGAGGCGGCGGAAGTGGTGGTGGTGGCGGCGGCGGCGGCGGCGGCGGAGGAAGAACTAGATGTGGGGGAAGCGGAGGAGGATGGAGAGGAAGTCGCCGCGGCGGCGGAGGAGGAGGAGGAGGAGGAGAGGAGACCATGGCCGCCATTCACTTTCACCTTTGGCGATGACGATGCTGCTGCTGCTGCTGCTGCTGGAGATTTGCGGTAGTGGTGGTGGTGATCCTCGGACGGCGAGCAGCACAGCGTTGCTCGCATCGTCGTCGTCATGGAGATCGATCCGGATCCCATGTCCTTTTCCTTCTATGCCCGATCGAGATCTCAGACTCCAAAAGGGAGGAGGGGTGAGAGAAATAAAATAAAAAAGACCCACGATGGATCTATCTATCCACTATAGTGCTAGTTGCTCTGTTCTTCCTCCTCTAGCTCGCTAGGTCTTTGTGCGCATAGAAGAAGAAGGAGATCGCGCTGGATCCAGCGACTTGGGTCGAAGATCGGAGCCCAATCGAGCAGACCCAAATCGCCCTTTGTGGCATCTGTGCATGCATGCAGCTCCAGATAGGATCGAATCAAAAAAAAAAAAAGAGAGAGAAGGAAGAACTCTTCTCTCCTCTCGCAAATTCTCACTCACTCTCTCTCTCCTCTCTCCTCTCGAAGGGGGCGAGGTGGGCTTTTAGAGTGGGCGATTTCTTGGCTGCCTCGTCTATGCTGCGCGCGCTATGCGGGCAATGTGGGTTGCGGATCGATGTGCGCGAGGAGGTGGGATGGCGAATTGGGGGCCACGCACGACTAGGGAAGATTTGGCGGTGGTTTGACACACAATGCTTCGTCCGGATCACGACACACCAAACTGTTTGTGTGTGGCCCCCCCCACAACGAATTCCCCTTTACTCCTTCCAACCCACGCGATTAAACGATCATCTGTGGAAATGCTCCAGGAATCCACGACAGAATCCTATTCCCCTACCCCATTGATGACAAGAAAAGAAATACCCCACATTATCTCTAAGAACCCTAAAAAACAGAGCACTTTAATTATCCCCAAATTTATGACAAGCCCTAGAAATACCAAGAACCCTAAAAACAGAGTAGTACCGTTAAAAACCTGTCCTCCACTTGGATCAGTTCTTGAGCTTCTTCGCCGCCCGCCCCGGCGCCGCCGCCGCCGCCACTCTCTTCCGCCCTCTCCCCACCTCCTCCTCCTCGTAGATCGGCTGCTTCTTACACACCCCGGTTCGCAGCTGGATCTCGATCGTGGCCGGAATGCTCAGCTCGGGCGGGATCATCACCGCGATCCGGGCCGCCCCCTTTGCGCACGCCGGGGTGGCGGCGAACCCCTCCTCGCCGCGCACCGCCTCCTTCTTAGGCCGCCCGCTAACGCACCCGATGAAGCTCCCCAGCGACCTCGCGATCTTGGGCAGGACGAACAAGCACTGGTCCGGCAGCCCCGGGAGGACGATCATCCGCGGCGCGCACTGCTCGCCCTCGTCGTTCACGGTGGCCGGGCACCACGGGAAGATGCTCACCTGGATGCCGAAGGGGCGGGGCTTGAACGCCAGCGCCTTGCGCCGCGCGATGGCCAGCTCGAACACCACCAGAAAGAAGCCGCGGCCCAGGTCCCGGCAGTGCTGGACGTGGCCGATCGCCTCGGCGTCGCCCAGCGCGTTGCGGATCCACTCCTCGGCCAGATCGCACGTCATGGTCACCTCCATCCGCCAGAAGTAGAGCAGCACCGCGTGCCCGCTCAGTGTCTCCTCCGCCTCCTTGAGCTCCTCCTGGACGATGATCCTCCCCACCGCCAACTCCTTTCTCGGACCGGTTCCTCGCTCGAAAAGCATCTGATCCATATCCTCCTCCTCCTCGCCGCTCTCTTCTCCTCCTCCGCCACCGTTTGCTTCCACTGCCTCGTCCGGAGCCACTCCTCCATCGCCGCCAGCGTCCTCGGACGCGTCCTGCGACCGCTCCGCCTTGTCCTTGGTGATCCTGGTGGAGGAGCTTGGCTTGAGCCGGTTGGAGTTGCTGCTGATCCCGCGATGGTCGTGCACCTCCTCATCGTTGTCCACCGGCAGCGTGATCATCCCCAGCGCCTCTTCGTGGCTCCCAAACCCGTTCTCCTGCTGCTGCATCTTCCGCTTCGCCAAAAGTCTCGGTGACACCCTCCTCGGCACGCTCACTACCAGAGCCTCCTTGGCCTTTCTCTTGCTACCAGACGCTGTGCTACTACCTTTTGCCGCTGGAGTCTTGGGCGGCTTGGCTGCTGCTGCTGCTTTCGGGCTCGCCTTCTTCGATTTCCTGCTACCCTTTCCTCTTTTCTTAGCGGGCATCACTGGAAAAAACCTTCATGCTTTTATATACCCTATGCTTTTCGGCTACGATCTCCTCCTTTTCTAACCCACCATAACCCAGCCTCTACTACAAGCCGCCCATCCGATTCTAAATCGACGGCCACTGTAACTATTTACCGCGCGCCAACCAAAGTTTAAGTCCTTGCAGCTTGCCACGTACGTTTGCCATGCACAGCACTATCAATCTAGCCAGCGGCCACCATCATCATCATCGGTCCTCTCCAAATCTAATCCATTCCTGCTGCCCCTGTCGGATCGACACGACCGTTTCCTATCCCTGTCAGATCCATCCTCCTCCCGTTTCCTGTGTTTTCTATCATTTTCACCCGAGTGATGACTTCGCTCCGACCTGTACGAACTCCCTCTCGCCTGATCATACCTTCTTCCATTCTCTCGACTAGAGTGCGAGTGCCTGCGATGATCAGAACGCTGCTCCTTGTCCCGTCTTTGGTGATCTCTCCTGCTCCTGCTCTCAACCTCTTCAACTTGGAGACCGAAAAGACTGGCCATCTTCTGCTTCCATGACCTCGGCGGCGGACCTTCCCGGTCTGCCCACTCGTACTCACCACCCGGGTTTCTAAAGCAGTGAAGGAAATTGCACGCTGTGCCCCGGGAGCACGTCTACAAGGAGCACAACGACAGTCAAGGAAACAGAAACTTCAGAAACTAGGAATATAAATTCACCTGATGCGCTTTCATATACTCTCCGCAAAGTGCCGCTTTCCATTTTGAGACCCGGACAAACTCAGGAATCATCTGCCGAAACAGAGGTCAAACATAACGGTCAAATGGAATATCGAGCTAATACCTGTTTGCTGGCGTAAAATCTTCCACTCAAAGCAAGACACGCAGCAACCGCGTCCGCTTCAGACTGATAATGCACATATACGTTGCCACGCAAATGCGGTGAAGAATTTCGGCACACCTATATCCAAGCAATACATTAAGATTGCCACGCAAAACTTCGCAACGAACCTTAAAATTCACCAGCTCTCCGAACTTCAAGAACTCGGAATGCACGTCTTCGTAAAACTCTTCGAATTTCTGTTCAATCTCCTCATCCGTGCACTGTTTCAAAAGAATATGAATATGCAAGAATGTACCGACACCCAAATGCCTATAACAGCGTTAAGGATAAAAAGAAAGGACGACTAAAAGAATATAAGCAGGATACAGATTCCCAGAGCTTCTTGATTCGGCTTGAATCCCTCCAACATAGAACCTTGGCCTCTCCATACCAATCGAGTAGCGAGCTTGATGAAAATTTCAGTCAAGGAAAAAGACTCTAATGTGGAAGAAGATGCGGACAGACCGACGAGACAATGCAGGTGCAGACACGAAAAAGAAAATGAAAACATACAAACCTCCAACCCTTCATCATGTTCCCAAGCCAATCCAGGCCCGGTGTACATGTTCTTGATAAGGAGGGTGCAAGACTTTTCTGGATACACATGAAGTCGACTGCAGCGAGGTCCAAATCTGCAAGCTCCAGTTTTTGTGTGGAAGGGGCAGTGGGTTTTGTCCTGCATCCACCGTAGGAAAAAAAAATTTAGCGTAAAAAACAGTAGCAGCATGGGAAATACGCTACAAACCTGCTCGGTACCATAGTTCGCAACTTGATCGATTCCATCGTAAGATTGTTTTCGAGGTAAAGCTAAGCGCGGAGGAGGAGAAGGATTGCGAGTTGGTCTATCATCTTTTCTCTGGATGACAAGAATATAAACAAGGATGGAAAATAAATAAATACATGAGAACCGAAAAAATAAGAGAGCCATACCTCCTTAGTATTTACTTCCGGCTTCTCCACCTTGGCTCCTACTTTAACTCTAGTTTTTCTGATAGTGATCTCATTTCCCTCCCAGATGATCTCGGCAGGACCATCTTCATATTCCCCATCTTCTTCTCCTTCTTCCTTTTCTTGCTTCTCCAAAGGTACTTCTTTTTGCTGCGAAAGAAAAAACAAACAAATGGAGCTCAATCCATCGACACGAGACAAAATCTCATACCTTTGACAATCTTTCTTGTTCCTTGCGCTGGAATTCCTCTTGCGCTTGCCGCTCTCTCTCCAACCAGCGCCTTTCCTCCTCCTCGTGTAATTTCCTCTCCAATTCCTCCCGCTGCGCTTCCAGCTCCAGCGCCTTGCGGATTCGGAGCTGCTCTTCCGGATCCTGTAACCGCACCTCCTCTCGCAGCCTCTCCGCCTCGGCAATCCGCTGCCTACATTTCTTGCGCTTGATCTTCTTCCGCGCCTTGCGCTTCTCCTTGCGCCCCGAGCCAGACGTCTCACCTGGCTGCTGGCTCCCGGAATCCGGCCGCGCTGTGCAGGAGGACTCCATCTTCCAAACCCTACAATCCAAGAACCCTAGAATTGGTAGCAAGAATTTAAACGAATTTGAATTGGCTAGAACCGCGCGGGAGATTCCGTGAGGTCGATCACATCCCTGGCGCGAGCTCGCTTGGGTGTGGAGGAGAGAATGATGATCGGGGAGATCATCGAGCACATCCTCTTTCCAAATAACGGGGAGATCCCCGGCGTTAGCAAAACTGGTGACAAGATCACCACTGGAGTTTTTCGCGATTTGGGAGTCTTGGGCGTTTGCTCTTGCAGAAAAATATCAGCATCGCTGCTCTTGCTCTTCTTTTCTTTCCTCGCTGGAGGAAGAGAAATCGTCTGTTTTTGAGAGGTCGAGTTGTTCGTAGTTTTCCTCTTTGCTGGACGAAAAAATTCTTGATCACTACTGTCGGGAGAAATCTCTGCGTGTCCTGCCTGTTCTTGGAAAGATCCCTGCGTGGTTCTCGTGCCTCGAGTAGGAGAGATCGAATCAACTGGTCCGTTTTCTTGAGGATTTTCTACAGTTTCCTCGTCATCCAAAGTTCCCTCCTCGTCTCTTGATAAACAATCACTTCCGTCTTGTTCGTCTGCTGGATCTTCGCAATACTCTGCGTAGCTGGGAAGTTGATCCATAGATCCAATGCAGCATCTCATCTGATCCGGTAAAGTCTGGCATCCCTTCCTGTGTTGTGCATGCTCGGACGAAAAGAACTGGACCGTAAGCTTCATCCTGCTAGAGAAAAAAAAATGTCAACCATGAAAGCATATCATCGTCCAAAAATACCTGGACCATTTTGGAGAGCACAACATCGCGTGAAGAATTTTAATCTTTCCTGCTATTCCTCGCAAATTTTTGGGCTTTACTTCTGCCGGAAGAACCACCTCCTTTGAAAGCTTTGGATGCTGCCATGCCCATTCAAACTGGGCAAAACCGAAAAATAGGAAAAAATCCCTTCAATCCAAATTCTTTACCTGAAGAGCATCCGTCTTCGATGAAAATCCATAAACGCAGAGAACCATCTCCCACGGCCTCTTCTTCTTGGTCCGGAACGCTCCACAAGTAATCTCTCCATTGTGCTGCCGGATTCTTCGTCGCGGATTCACGGTAAAACTGCCAAATTCTCTCAAACTCTTGAGATTCCTGTGCTATTTGAATTCCCGGCGCTTACCCGATGTAAGTCTGTCCCTTGAAGCGAGGATTGATGGATCGCAAGAGATAGCATCCGTAGAAGCGCCTAAGCTCCATCGCCTGCGCCAAAGAACCCTATCTCCAAGCCCATAAAATGTGACCGTTGTCATTCGTCCATCTCCTTTACGCCCTAGTCCTGTCAAGCCGTTCTAGCTCAGTTGGTATAGTAGTGGTTTTTAATAACGGGGTCGTGGGTTCAAATCCTACGGATGGCAATCCATAAAAAATGAGTCTTAGCAAAGTAATGTTGCTAAGCACTAATGAATTTCCAACCAATGAGAAAATCACGATTTCACGAAAATTTCACTCATGCACACTTGGCTTTGTCCGGCTCATCGCTCTGCAACCATTTCAAGAAGTTGACCCTTGCGCTCTTCGTCATCCCTGATCCATAGCGCGTCTGGAAGCAGTAGTCGATGCACATATCCGCCATGGTCTTCTTCACCTTCCTCATCCTCGGGTAGAACGCCAGGGGAAAGGAGCACGCCGTGAGCGCCTCCAAGCTCTCGAGGTTCGTCGTGGTGGCGTCCATGAAATCCAGGCACATCCGGGCGTCCGACGGCATCATCTTGGGGATTTCCGCGCTGGCCGTGTCCTTGTAGATGAAGTAGAGGAGATGAGATCACAAAGCATATCTTGTTCTTACTGATGATCCATGAGTTTCAAATAATTGTTCATAAGAGCCAAGAGAGCTTTTGTGTTGTACTTCTTCCGTGTATTCTTCTTGCATAAGAGAACCTTTCTAAGCATCACATAAAAGGCTGATCGCTAAGTGTTCATGCCTTGAACCAGCTGTTAGATCCAGCTCCTGTTCCTGCACCCCCTCCAAAGCCAGTTCCTTCCAATCCTGAGCCGTCGAGACTATGTCCAGGGCCAGTGAAGATTTGGCATCGTGACTACAGTGGCATCGGCTCTTTTTCCACCAAAGGCCATGAGCTCTTGCTCCTGGAGCAAGAACTCATGGCAACGATAGACTTGGAGAAGAGCATGTGTCAACTCACTCTAACGTACTTATCGGCCAGTCCGAAAATCCCCAAGTGAGCCTGGATTTCATGGACCGTAGTACCTTTAACAATATACTTAGCATTATTTTTATAAATTCACGCTCTCAAAGATTATCACTTTAGTGGGCCTCGTGATCAAATCCTCTGGTCGTCGCCAAAATAGTGCTGCGCAAGAGAAGTTGATCAAGCTTGAGAAACTTTAGGAGAAAACTCACCTCGTTGATCTCGTTAAACTTCTCCCATCGCTGGATGCACTATCACTGCTCGAGGCGCCATTCCGAAGCAAAAATTTGGTCACGACCAGGGTGCTCGATCGAACCTCTTTCTTGGCTTGCACTCTCTTGCGGAATGCATCCAAGAACAAGACCTCGATGATCTCCACATACGAGATTATATTTACTACCTCATTTTCGTTAAGTTTCAAGAGCTCAAGCGCGAATTGTTTCTACTCTCTGGATCGTTGCAATGGTTCAAAACTCGACCGCTTGATTAGAAAGAAACTATACCTCGCTAAGGATCTCGCTTTCCAACCCAAAGAAATTTGTAATCCGGAGCTGGCTCGACAGTGACTGTGACGAAGAAAAGAGAGAATCTGTCCAGAGAAATGTAAGAAACCGAGAAAAATACCAGCCACATTTCCATGCTGAAACCGTTGATACACGATTCCGACGCATGCGCCATTGGAAATCTAAACTCCCATCAGGCAACGGCAAATCACGCTCTAAGAAATACCCAAACTATACCTCATTCGGCAACATATTTGCATCCTCGGCTCACAATCATGCTTGGAGCGCCTAGACATCACTCACCGCGCGAGGACAAAGAAAAGAAAAGGAACCGACACCGGATTAATACCTCCTCTCGCTCTAAAACTTCTAAAACCCAAACACCGGGGCACAGAGATTTCAGCGAAGCCATCTTGTCATTGTGAAACCACCGTCCAAAGTTTCGTGCGATATTTTTTCTTCTTGAAAAAAACGAGACGCGTTGTTACAACTTGATGGAAGAAAGTGAGAATGGAAGACGTACCTCAGGCACGCCTGGCTTTGTCCGGCTCATCGCTCTGCAACCACTTCAGGAATTTGAGTGTCACGCTCTTCGTCATCGACGCTCCATAGCGCATGATGAAGCAGAAGTCGATGGCCATATCCGCCACGGTCTTCCACTTCTCCTCCTCCTTCGTCATCGTCGGGTAGAACGCCGTGGGAAGGAAGCCTGCCGTGAGCGTCTCCAAGCTCTCGAGGTTCGTCGCGGTAGCGTGCATGAAATCGTTGCAGAACTCGTCAGCGACTTTCGGGTGGGCGGAATCCTGGTAGAGGAAGTAGAGGAGGTACGCTGGAGCGAAGGATATGCGTAGGACCGTCTTGTTCAGCTTGCTGTTGGTCATGTGCTTGAGGATCTCCTCCGAGTCTATCGCGACCTGGACGAGCTCTTGCTCCACCATGAACTGCCGCCTGTTCTTCGGGTTCACTTCGGTGACTCTCCTGTACTCCCTGAGATGCTTGAGGTAGCGAAGGCACAGGCTCTCGTAGGGACCGCCGCATCGCCGGTAGAGCATCTCGGTCGTGCAGCGCCAGCACCGGCACCAGTTGAGAAACTCTTGGCGGAGGGCCACGGGGAGCATCTCAAGTGAAGGAGCATAGGAGTACGTGAGCTCCTCTCCCTTGGGGATTTTCGCATTAGCCCGGAAGATCTTGGCGGGTCCAACTTGCACCACGCATAAGTTCCCCCGGCAGCTGTGTGCGATGAATCCCGGCAGCGTCCACACGCCCCCCAGGAAGCCCAGCTTGAAGTTGTGCTCGAGTATCTGCCTGATCTTGTCCGTCTCCACGTTACGCTTCTTTGTCCAGTCAATGTCGGAGTTTGGCTTGAAGACTTGCATTGGTGGGATCCTGGCGTTATCCTCGTCGAAAATCTGGCTCCAAAGGTAATGGAGCTGCAACCAACTTCTTCGAGAGGTCAGGGCGGCTCGCAAGAGCTTGACGTAGACGTCGACGGCGGCATGCTCGGCGTACATGTCACGGACGTAGCCCAGTGCATTGCTCAGAAGGACGATTTTCCCAGGCTTGATGTCCTCGGTGGCGAACAGGCCGATGCCACCTTCTTCGCGGGGAGCAAGCTCCACTGGGCCGACAAAGTCTAGGAAAGGTGGAGCATCGTCGCTCTTGCAGCCTCGGCTCAGGTAGCGGTGGAGGTCGTCGGAGATGTCGCGTTCTTCGCTCTTGTCCATGAGCTTGATGAGGTGAGCCCGTTGATCGTTATACGCCTCACCGTTGCTGCAGCGCGAGAGAGCTAGCTTGTAAGCCTGCACTGCGTCTTTGTACTGGAGCATTCCGTGGAGAGCTCGCCCCTTCCTCGTCAGCAACTTCACCAAGGTGGGGACGTTCTCCGTGGCATCCGCGAGCGCCAGAGCCTTCTCCGCGTTCTGAAGGGCAAGGAAGAAGTTCTCGAGCTCAAGGTAGCACTCGGCAGCGTTTGCGAGAGCCAGAAGCTTGTCCCTCTCGTTGTCAGCCTTCGAAATGCTCAGGTTGTAGAGCTCCACAGCCGCCAGGCATTCCTTCCTGAGAAAGTGCTCGTTACCCAAGCTGCGAAGCTCGCTTGATGTTCTCTGGCAGAGTTCCATGGTCGTCGGGAAGCAGGACGTGATCTCTACGCTTCCTGAGCACCAAAAGTCATGACACAAATGATAAAACCAACTTTACCTGGATTATCAACAACGCAGCGTCCCTCCAGCCGAAAGTGCTTTTTCACGGTTACCGATGCTCCCTTGGGATATAGTGCGTCCAGTTCCTCCAGGGAAGAGTCGCTTCGAGCTACAAACAGGAGACGAACTTCGATCGGCCCGGATAGATAGAGGATGAAATCGTTGCTTCCGCCCAATTTGAATCCCTCGATAGTCCCACTCAGCGCCGATGTAGAGAGTTGCTCCTTTCGCAGGCGGTTCATGTCTTCAAGCTTAAAAGCTATCGCCCTTGGGGCCCTCGTGATCAAGCTATGGAGTCGTTGCCGTTTTTGAGCCTCTGGTGAGATGCCGGGATACAAGTCCTGCGCACAATGGGAAGAAGTTGAGCTTTAAACAGTCTTTAGTAAACTCACCTCCTTGAGCTCCGGAAGGCTCTCCCAGGATGCAGGCGCACTACCACTGGTCGAGGCGTCCTTCCAGAAGCAAAGCACAGCAATAAAAATAGTGACACGCTTGGACTGGTTGTATGTTGTTACCTCGTTCTTTCCTCGCAGTTCTTTCCAGCGATCGTCCGAGAACAAGCGCGCAATGATCTAACAACAAGCCAGCGTGGTCAGATGAGAATAAAAGCTTTAAACTAGTAGAGTCGATTTGTACCTCATCGTCGGGAAGGTTGGAGAGCTCAATCCCCATGTTTTTGCGAATTGTTGGGGGACCCTAAGTTCACAAACAAACTGCTGCTTAGAAGCCCCGTAGAAGAAGTCTGAAGTACCTCGCTTAGAATCTCGGATGCCGAGACAAAGAAATTTCTCATCCGGAGGCTTGGCTGCGACACAAGAATCTGAGAGAGAAATGTGAGGAAACCGAGAAAATACCCTGTCGTCGAGCATCATTTGCATCATCAAGCCGCCAAGCTCCGATGCCGACGCCCGGGATGAAGATTCGCCCTTGGAAATCAAAGCTCCATCAGGGAATCACGCGACAAGCCTGTGCGGAATCGAAATATACCGCAATCGATCGATCCGCCTCCGAAATATCGCCGCCAGAGGCACTAGACGCTGCCGGATCCGGCACAGAAGCATTCCTGGAGCGCCTAGACATCGTATCTGCAAGCACAGGATCTCGCGAGGACGAAGAGGGGAGGACGCCGGGTTACCTCTTCTTGCTCGCGTTTTGCCTAAAGCCCTAAACCCAAACACCCGGGCACAAAAAATTTAAGCGCAGCCGTCCGATGCATGTGATATGGAAACTTCAATCACAACCGCCCGATATTCCCGCCTTCTTGTGAGAATCAAAACCAAGCGTTGGATCACGAATGCTCGTCCTAAAAATTGGGAAAACTTATAACAGATAATCCTTATGTACCAGCACGCGGATATAATCAAAATAACGAGTTTTAGCAGCTTCGAAAAACTTTCTCCTGTACCTGTAAGAACCAAGAGCTTTTAAAAACGTCGATAGCTCGAAACACAACTCTTACCCATAGTCTGTGTCCCAAACCTCGTCGGCTAAACGAGAATGGGATCTAGACCATGTTCAAGGTTTTGAAACAAAAACCAAGCGTACCAGCACAAACGATTGGTCCTTCTCGAAGTTGCTAAACTTCGTAAGAACCAAAGGCTTAGCGACCTCTTACCATTAGTAGCCTACAAGCCTCTGAGAGGCAGAACGAGAAAAAGACCTCAAACTCACCTCTGTTCTAATGGAAATGAAACTTACCATCACGACGTTAAGCTCTTTGTTTAAAACTTTAGCAGGTCCTTCAGCCTTAGCTCGTCGTTCAAAACTTTTCATGAAGACTATCGTCCTGTGCCTGCGAGAAACGGAGCTTTTAGAAGCATCGATCGCATCAAACTAAACTAAAGAGCTCACCATCAGTGTCATCTTTTCAGGTGATGCCAGCCACAAGCGCGGGCATTTTTCGTTCCAGATACCTGAAAACAAAACTCTGCTTGTCGGAAAACAAACTTGGCATCATCTGCTTTAGCCGAAGGAAAGAAGCATCTTATAGACTTGCTTTTGCGCTGTGCTATAGTACCTCTAGCGGTTTCTCAAGGGAAATCCACGGAAAGGTCAGTGAGGTATTGGACGAATTGCAAGTTTAACTTCCGAAGCTTGTGCATTGCAAGAATGTCTTACCTGGAGTATCATCCTCTGTCAGTAACTATATCGTTGAGAAGACAAAGTTACCTGGATTTTCAATGGCTTTCTTACGGCTGTATGCGTCTTTGGGTAGAGAAGCAAAAAATTGGTAAGACAACGTATTCCGCCCCAATAGATCGGACGCATGTCATGAATTCGCCCGCCGATCTTCGCCTTGGAATGCGGTTTGTGTCGAAATGCTGAAGTAGACGATCACATACCTCGGAGGAAACGAAATCTCGAGATCTTCGCGGCTGCATCGTTGTCGAAATTGGGAAACCCTAAGACCAATTCAAAATTTTAAAGAAATCAGTTTTATAAGTGTAAATATATAATTTTATGGTGATATTGCCTCAGTTCTGAACATTGATTAATTTTTACTCTTATTTTTAATTTGGTGTTCAATTGAGTATTTTTTATCCTTCTCAAAATGATTTGAATTTTAACTTGTTTTTTCAATGTCTAATCTTGAATATTCCTTTGTTCTAAGCCAATTTTGTCAAAGAGTGTATTTCTCCAATTGTGAGTGTTGTTAAGAGCTTTTAATTTATTGTTACGACTTCTTTCTTTCTTTATTAAGTATAAAATTTTCCTCAAGCATGGTGAATCTCTTATTTCTTTAGTTTTATATAAAAATATTTTATAATTGGATTTTTTTAAACAAAGCCTTTTATAATAAAAGATTGTTATTGAAGCCATGAACAGACTTCCTTTTATATCTTTATTTTAGCCTTCTAAACTGCTACTAAAATTACTTTTTTAAAGTGTTTTTCTATTCATTTTTTTCTTTCACATCCTTTCTTTTTTATTTTTTCTTGCTTACTTTCTTTTTTGCCTTGATGCTTCAAACTGATTTTTCTTCGAAATAAAAAGTCCAACCTTGATGATAAAGAACAAGTGATATTAGTATTAAAATGAAAATTAGTGTAACAAATCTAAATGGAATGGCCTTAAGTGAATATATTAACAAAATAAGGCTAAATATATATAGGTGAACAATGAAGCTAATGCTCAAAAACATTTTTTTTTTAAAGAAAGGATGAAAAAGATATGCAAAACGAACATTGCAAACTTGAACAAAGACAATAATTGTGAGTCCAAGTTAGGTTTAGGTTTTGTTGATGAAGGTAATTCCTAGTGGTTTGTGAATTTGGGATGGTTTAAATATTTAACAAATACACATTAGATTTTAGTTTGTTAATAAAATTCTTTGGTATTATACTATAACTTTGGGTTTTATTTCTGTTATAATTGTCAATACTAGATTTGATAGGTTAATAATCCTAACTCAAATTCTTACTGGAATGACCGTTATAGAAGCTTTAGATATACCACTAAAGCTTGAAGCTTTGTAATCCTCTGGAGGACAATATATATATATATATATATATATATATATATATATATATATATATATATATATATATATATATATATATATATATATATATATATATACCTATTCACCTAAGTCTTTAAATTTTATTTAAATACAAACTCTTTAATCTACTTTAACAAATCTGAAAGGTGATTGAGATATAAAAAGTATTAAATTACTCAAATCATGAGAACAAAAATTTCAACATCTTTTCAATTCGCATCAGTGTTGTACTATTTTGTGGATGGTATCGTCTGTCCGGCTAGGCAAACATACCTTTAAAATATCTACGTAACATTGATCTTGTTACCTTGTGATGGCTTCCAATGGGTAGCAAATCACGCAGAGGGACAGATAGCACTATCCAAAATGCCAAAATACATGCAGTTTGCCACTGGCCTCAGTAGATTTGAAGTACAACTGGAAATAAAAATTCGAGTGCGTTATGTGAATCCGCCAATCCAAACAGTTGATGCTATAATTATGGTGAAAGCGCTTGTCCAGTTCCTTTAGCGGTTTGCATCTTTGCCTGTTAATCCAAATAGAGAGAAAAAAACGAACAGAAAGAGAGAAATAACCTGTCAACATTCCGGACTCTTGGACAGCGAGGAAAACATCCAGATCATAAAAAACGCATAGATGATCGCAACTGGAAGGAAAACTTCTCCTTGTTGGAAAAATGGACATTCTCCGCCAGCTCCAAAGGCTCGATCGCAACGAAATACGCTCCACATCACAGCAAGACCTTGCTCGTGATCCCACCCAACGTCAGCTTCACCACCCCGAAACGAGAAACCGAATTGTACCACAAAGCCATCTAGCGCAGGCATTTTGCCCTTCCAGAAACCTGGAAGGAACACTTTCCTTGTCAGGAGAACAAACTTGGCATCATCTGCCTCTGCATCGAAGAATTGATATATATTACCTCAAGTTAAGCTTGTGCATCGCAAAGTAACGAAGCCGATGGAGAGACTTTATCCTCCGGCTGAGCACTACCATGCTTGGAGCGCCTAGACATCTCTCACAGGATTTCGAAGAGGAAAGGGACCGATGCCGGGTTACCTCCTCTCTGGGGCATGAAGCCGTCCATTCAAAACGCTGGATTACGCGCGGTATTTTCCTTAGCAAAACAAGAGACACTTAATAGAAGAAAGTGAGAATGTAAGACATACCTCAGGCACGCCTGGCTTTGTCCGGCTCATCGCTCTGCAACCATTTCAGGAATTTGACCCTCGCGCTCTTCGAAAGCAGTAGTCGATGCACCAATCCGCCATGGTCCTGAGGTCCTCCTTCTTCTTCGTCATCGTCGGGTGGAACGCCATGGGAAAAAGCCCTGCCGTGAGCGTCTCCAAGCTCTCGAGGTTCGTCACGGTAGCATTCATGAAATCCATGCAGAACTCGCTATCCTTCGGCATCACGTCGACGGCTTCCTGGCGGGCGGAATCCTTGTAGAGAAAGTAGAGGAGGTACGCTGAAGCGAAGGACATGCGTAGAACCGTCTTGTTCGTCGTGCTCTTGTTCGTGTGCTTGAGGATCTCCTCCGAGTCTATTGCCACCTGGACGAGCTCTTGCTCTACCATGAACTGTCGCCTGTTCTTGGGGTTCACTTCGGTGACTCTCCTGTACTCACTCAGATGCTTTTGGTAGCGAAGGCACAGGCTCTCGTAGGGACCGCCGCATCGCCGGTAGAGCATCTCGATCGTGCACCGCCTGCACCGGCACCAGCTGATAAACTCTTGGCGGAGGCCCACAGGAAGGATCTCGAAAGAGGGAGCATAAGAGTACGTGAGCTCCTCTCCCTTTTCGATGTCCAAAGTCGCCCGGAAGATCTTCGCGGGTCCAACTTGCACCACGCATAAGTTTCCCCTGCAGCTGTGTGCGATGAACCCCGGCAGCGTCCACACGCTCCCGACAAAGCCCAGCTTGAAGTTGTGCTCGAGAATGTGCCTGATCTTGTCCGTCTCCACGGCACGCTTCTTTGTCCAGTCAATGTCGGAGTTTGGCATGAACACTTGCATTGGTGGGATCCCAGCCTTATCCTCGTCGAAAATCTTCCTCCAAAGGTAATGGAGCTGCAGCGAAGTTCTCGGAGACTTCAGTGCGGCTTGTACGAGCTTGACGTAGACGTCGACGGCGGCATGCTCAGTGTACATGTCACGGACGTAGCCCAGTGCGTTGCTCAGAAGGACGATCTTCCCGGCCTCGATGTCCTCGGTGGCGAATAGGCGAATGCCACCATCTCTACGGCACCGAAACTTCACTGGCCCGACAAAGTCCAGGAAAGTTGGAGCGTCGTTGCTCTTGCAGCCTCGGCTCAGGTAGCGGTGGAGGTCGTCGGAGATGTCGCGTTCTTCGCTCTTGTCCATGAGCTTGATGATGCCAGCCCGTTGATCAATGCTGCAGCGAGAGAGAGCTAGCTTGTATGCCTGCATTGCATCTTTGTATTTGAGCATGCCATGGAGAGCTCGCCCCTTCCTCGTCAGCAACTTCACCGAGGCGGGGACGTTCTCCGTGGCATCCGCGAGCGCCAGAGCCTTCTCCGCGTTCTGAAGGGCAAGGAAGAAGTTCTCGAGCTCAAGGTAGCACTCCGATGCGTTGCCGAGAGCCAGAAGCTTGTCCGTGTCTTTGTCAGCCTTCGAAATGCTCAGGCCGTAGAGCTCCACAGCCGCCAGGCACTGCTTCATGTGGAAGTGCTCGTTAGCCAAGCTGCGGAGCTCGCCGGATGTTTTCTGGCGGAGTTCGTCCATGGTCGTCGGGAAGCAGGATATGATCTCTACGTTTCCTGAGCACCGTTCGAAAGTCATGACACGAATGATAAAACCAACAGTAGATTACTTACTAGGATTCTCAACAACGCAGCGCCCCTCCAGCCGAAAGTGCTTTTTCACGGTTACCGATGCTCCCTTGGGATATAGTGCTTCCAGTTCCTCCAGGGAAGAGTCGCTTCGAGCGACAAAAAGAAGACGAACTTCGATCGGCCCGGGCAGATAGAGGATGAAATCGTTGCTTCCGCCCAATTTGGATCCCTCGATAGTCCCACTCAGCGCCGATAGAGAGAGTTGCTCTTCTCGCGGGCGATTCATGTCGCCAAGCGCAAAAGTTATCAGCCTTGGGGCCCTCGTGATCAAGCTATGGAGACGTTGTCGTTTTTGAGCCTCTGGTAGACAGATGTCAGGAAACAAGTCCTGCGCACAAAAGAAGTTGAATCGAGCTTTAAACAGTCTCCTGTAAACTCACCTCCTGGAGCTCCGGAAGGCTCTCCCAGGATGCAGGCTTCCAGAAGCAAAACACAGCAATAACACAGTGAAAAATTTGGTCACACTTGGTTGTAAGTTACCTTGTTCTTTTCTTGCACTTCTTTCCAGCGATCGTCCGAGAACAAGGCCTTAATGATCTAACAATAATTCACACCAAAGCCAGCGTGATCAGACTAAAGAATAAAAGCTTTAATACTAGAGTCTTGTACCTCATTGTCTGGAAGTTTGGAGAGATCAATCCCCATGTTTTTGCGAAGTGTTTGCACACCCTAGGTGTATGCTTAGAAGAAGTTTGAAGCATTCAGAAAGTACCTCGCGTAGAATCTCGGATGCCAAGACAAAGATATTTGTCATCCGGAGCTGGCTTGGCGAAGGAACAAACAAACAAGAATTTGAGAGAGAAATGTGAGGAAACCGAGAAAATACCCTGTCATCGACCCCCATCTGCATCATCGAGTCGCTACGCCGCGATGCCGACGCCCGGGATGAAGATGGGCCCTTGGAAATCAAAGCTCCATCAAGGAATCACGCCACAAGCATGTGCCGAATCGAAATATACCGCAATCGATCGATCAGCCTCCGCTGGGGGCACTCGACGCTGTCGGATCCGGCACAGAAGAATTCCTGGAGCGCCTAGACATCGTATCTGCAAGCACAGGATCTCGCGAGGACGAAGAGGGGAGGACGCCGGATTACCTCTTCTTGCTCGCGTTTGCCCGAAGCCCTAAACCCAAACACCCGGGCACAAAACAATTTAAGCGCAGCCGTCCGATGCAATGTCATTTGAAAACGTCCGCCCGATATTCCCGCCTTCTTGTGTGAATAAAAATCAAGCGTTGGATCGGGAATGTCTATTGGAATCCATGGGGATATATGCTTTTGGATCAAAATCCAGCTTCGAGAACTTACGAAAAGCTTCTGTGAAAACCAAAATATAGCGAGAAATTTTTTATATTTTGGAACAAAACCCAAACGCTAAGCTTCGTAAGAATCAAGAGCTTTAAAAGCAACCTCTTAGTAGCCTACAAGCCTCTGGAGCCAGAATGAGAATAAGATCTCAAAACTCACATTCGAACTTCTCTGTTCTAATGGACATGAAACTTCGATGCTATGGTCTTCGTTCAAAACTTTAGCAGGTAATTCAGCTTTAACTCGTCGTTCAAAACTTTTTACGAAGACTATCGTCCTGTGCCTGCGAGAAACGAAGGCTTTTAGGAGCGTCGATCGCAAGTGTCGAGCCATGATTACACTTAAATCCAGGGTTTTAATGGTCACTCAACGCTAAAAGCTTATGTTTAAACTCATATTAAAATTTTTGGATCATAAACTATATTTAAGATATGCGGAAGAACTGGAAAAAAATGGAAAAATTCTCTCAAAGCCCAAGGGCAAGTCTTAAAAGATGCTTGCGCTGACCAGATGATGCCAAGTTGTCTTTTGTTTTCTCTCCAAGTTTCTAGAAACGGAGAAATGCCTGTGCTTGCTAAGATGGCTTTGTGGTCCTTGCTAGATTTTTGTCTTTCGGCTCTTCGGGCTCATAGATTATAGGGGCGCCGGGTGTATATTGGCGGAGATGCTCCTGGGTAGCAATCCCTTTGTGGGATACGGGATGGTGAAGTCAACGCTGGATGTGCTGTGCGGTGGGCATATTTTATTAGATCAAGACTTTGGAACTGGTCCAACTCCATAGTTTTCCCAACAAGGAGAAGTTACTTTTGGTACTTTGAGTTCCACGATGCCTATTTCATACTCTGGATTTTTTCCTTGCTGTCCAAGTCTCTGGAAAGCTTGCAAGTTCATTCTCTATTCCCTGGGACTTACAAGAAAGCCTCTGTACAAGAATTTTGCCAATGCTCTAAGCAATCATAGCATGAATAGTTTGTATAATTGGTCACGAGGTATGGCACATAAGGACTGATTCCAAATTGTTCTACTTAAATCGACAGAGGCCTACAGCATGAGTGAAGATTTGCTTAACATGATGAGGGATTTTTTAGGGTTATAAATATTTTCTTTCTCTCTAAAGTTAACATAAAAGAAATCGTTATAAATAAAAAACAAAAAGTAAGAAAAAGCTAACATTAAAATAATTTTTTTGGGAGAAGTAAACATGGCCTTTTTAAAGTTCTATTTCTTAATTCTTTGCATTATCTTATTAATTAAACTAGATTTTGTTATTGCACCTAAAAAATATACACCTAAACTTGGAAGAATAGGAATTTTAACATACCAAGATATTACTAAAATAATTGCAGGTGTTAATAGCTTATTATATAAAATTCAACATAATTATGATTATCCTGTAACATTTTCTGATGAAGATAGAATACTAACATCTCAAGGATATGTTGATTTAATAATTAAAGTTAAAGATCAATGTTCACTAAAGGATAAATCTACAGAAATTGTAGGAAATAATATTATACGTGGAATTGATCGAATTTTACAGTTTAGTAGAGATATTTTATATGAATCACTCTCAGATTATTTTGAAAAAGAAAGTGAAAATTATCTTATAAGATATAAACTAGATGGTACATCACATGAATTAATATATCAAATTCAAAATATTGGTTTTGATAGTATAAATGCTTGTTATCTTAGCATAAGTACTTTATTTTCCGATTCAACTTTACATATTAATAATTTTTTAGTTTCTCAGAATGGTAACAATGTTTTAGTGTTGGAATATAGTTGTAAGTTAGTTTTATATTCATTAAAACAAAAACTTTGGGAATCAGAAACTACATCAAAAGGTTATGATAATTGTTTCCTAATGTTACAATATGATGGTAATTTAGTTATTTATTCTAATAAAAAACCTTTATGGGCTACAAATAAATATTGTAGGAATTGTATATTATCAGCATTATTTACTGTTCAAAATGACTGTAATTTAGTAGTTTATTCATCAAAATTTCCTAATACTATCTTGTGGGCATCAGGTACATTCAACCATAAACTATGTTCATTTTAATTTAAAAATTATATAAAGTATAAAAGAATATACAAAGCTAAATCTTTAATATTAAAGTTTTAATTTTTTTAAATTACTATTTTGTTGAAAGAATTGCTGATATGCATCATCATATGGTAATAAAGTTTCTTATTCACAATAATGACTTAAGTTATACTTACAAAATGTATATAAGTGATGATTTCCTTTTTGAAAGGTTTTTGAAACTCACTAATACCACCTAAAACGTTTATCCTCAAATTACATTGTAATACTGCTTCTTGAAATGAGTAATAAAGTTTATATAATATCCATAATAAATTACTTATGATTTTTTTTGCAAATATTTTTTAATGAAAAACTTTAGTACTTAAAATAAATTTCTTTTTCTACATGAGATTATAGATTCAGTTTGGTGTAATGACGGACAGTTTAGCTGAATAACCTCTAGTTAAGCTAATCGGAACGCGGGAATATCAATGCCATGCATCGGACGGCTGCGCTTAAACTTTTTGTGCCCGGGTGTTTGGGTTTAGGGCTTTAGGCGAAGAGAAGGTAATGCGGCGTCGCCCTCTTCGTCCTCGCGAGATCCTGTGCTTGCAGATACGATGTCTAGGCGCTCCCGGAATGCTTCTGTGCCGGATCCGGCAGCGTCTAGTGCCTCCCGCGGTGATATTTCGGAGGCGGGGCGATCGATTGCGGTATATTTCGATTCCGCACAGGCTTGTCGCGTGATTCCCTGATGGAGCTTTTTTCCAAGGGCGCATCTTCGTCCCGGGCACCGGCATTGCAGCTTGTCGACTTGATGATGCAAATGGGGGTCGATGACAGGGTATTTTCTCTGTTTCCTCATATTTCTCTCTCAGATTCTTGCTTTGTTCCTTCGAATCCACAGCCAAGCCAGCTCCGGATGACAGATTTCGCTGTCTCGGCATCCGAGATTCTATGCGAGATACTCTCCGAAAGCTTCAAACTTCTTCTAAGCAGCAGTTTGTTACACCTAGGGTGTACAAAAAATTCGCAAAAACATGGAGGTTGCGCTCTCTAGAATTCGCGACTTCGTCGACCAGGAGGTACAAACAGACTCTAGTAAAGCTTTTATTCTTTCGTCTAAGAACGCTGGATTTCGTGTGGACTATTGTTAGATCATTGACGACTTGTTCTCGGACGATCGTTGGAAAGAAAAGAACGAGGTAACATACAACCAGTCCGAGCGTGTCATTACTTTTGTTGCTGTGTTTTGCTTCTGGAAGGGCGCCTCGACCAGTGATAGTGCGCCTGCATCCTGGGAGGGCATTCTGGAGCTCCAGGAGGTGAGTTTAGTGAAGACTGTTTAAAGCTCGATTCAACTTCTTTCCCTTGGGCAGGACTTATTTCCTGGCATCTCACGAGAGGCTCAAAAACGACAACGACTCCATAGCTTGATCAGCCCCAAGGGTGATAACTTTTGAGCTTGGCGGCATGAATCGCCTGCGAGAAGAGCAACTGGCGCTGAGTGGGACAATCGAGGGATCCAAATTGGGCGGAAGCAACGACTTCATCCTCTATCTGTCCGGACCGATCGAAGTTCGTCTTCTATTTGTAGCTCGAAGCGACTCTTCCCTGGAGGAACTGGAAGCACTATATCCCACGGGCGCATCGATAACAGTGAAAAAGCACCTTCGGCTGGAAGGACGTTGCGTTGTTGATAATCCAGGTAAAGTAAATCTATTGTGTTTTGTCATTTGTATGTCAACATTTCGGTGCTCAGGAAACGTAGAGATCATCTCCTGCTTCCCGACTACCATGCGCAAACTCGGCCAGAAAGCATCCAGCGAGCTTCGCAGCTTGGGCAACGAGCACTTCCACAGGAAGCAATACCTGGCAGCTATAGAGCTCTACAACCTGAGCATTTCGAAGGCTGACAACGAGAGGGACAAGCTTCTGGCTTTCGGAAACGCTTCCCACTGCCACCTCGAGCTCGAGAACTTCTTCTGTGCCCTTCAGAACGCGGAGAAGGCACTGGCGCTCACGAATGCCACGGAGAACGTCCTCTCAGTGAAGTTGCTGACGAGGAAGGGGCGAGCTCTCCACGGCATGCTCAAATACAAAGACGCAGTGCAGGCGTACAAGCTAGCTCTCTCGCGCTGCAGCAACGTTGAGGCGTATAATGATCAACGGGCTCACACCATCAAGCTCATGGACAAGAGCGAAGAACGCGACATCTCCGACGACCTCCACCGCTACCTGAGCCGAGGCTGCAAGAGCGACGACTCTCCAGCTTTCCTGGACTTTGCCGGGCCAGTGAAAATTTCCCGCCGTGACTACGGTGGCGGCGTCGGCCTGTTCGCCACCGAAGCTATCGCGCCTGGGGAGATCGTACTTGTGAGCAACGCACTGGGCTACGTCCGTGACATGTACGCCGAGCATGCCTCTGTAGACGTCTACGTCAAAGTCTTGCGAGCCGCGCAGAAGTCTCCGAGAACTTCGCTACAACTCCATTACCTTTGGAGCCAGATTTTCGACGAGAATAACGCCAGGATCCCACCAATGCAAGTCTTCAAGCCAAACTCCGACATTGACTGGACAGAGAAGCGTGTCATAGAGACGGACAAGATCAGACAGATACTCGAGCACAACTTCAAGCTGGGCTTTCTGGGGGGCTTGTGGACGCTGGCAGGGTTCATCGCACACAGCTGCAGGGGGAACTTATGCATGGTGCAAGTTGGACCCGCCAAGATCTTCCGGGCCAATGTGGACATCGACAACGGAGAGGAGCTCACCTACTGTTATGCTCCGGCTTTGGAGATCCTCCCAGTGGCCCTCCGCCAAGAGTTTTTCAACTGGTGCCGGTGCTGGCGCTGCACGACCGAGATGCTCTACCGGCGATTGGGCGGTCCCTACGAGAGCCTGTGCCTTCGCTACCTCAAGCACCTCAGGGAGTACAGGAGAGTCTTTGAAGTGAACCCCAAGAGCGTGCGGCAGTTCCTAGTGGAGCAAGAGCTCGTCCAGGTGGCGATAGACTCTGAGGAGATCCTCAAGCACACGACCAACAAAAGGGCGAACAAGATGGTCCTACGCATATCCTTCGCTCCAGCGTACCTCCTCTACTTTCTCTACCAGGATTCCGCCCACCCGAAAGTCGTCGAGGTGATGCCGAAGGACAGCGAGTTCTGCATGGATTTCATGAACGTTACCGCGGCGAACCTCGAGAGCTTGGAGACGCTCACGGCAGGCTGCCTTCCCATGGCGTTCTACCCCACGATGACGAAGGAGAAGGAGCAGCAGAAGACCGTGGCGGATATAGCCATCGACTTCTGCTTCCAGATGCGCTATGGAGCGTCGATGACGAAGAGCGCGAGGGTCAAATTCCTGAAATGGTTGCAGAGCGATGAGCCGGACAAAGCCAGGCGCGCCTGAGGTATGTCTCAACTCAACGTGTCTTGCTTTCTGTTATCAAGTTATAACGCAGCGCCTCGTTTTTTGCCAAGGAAAATATCGCGAAAGAAACAAGAGATTTCTAGGCTCCCATGGTGGGCTTTGATTTCCGAGCCGACTTACGATGCACAAGCGAACTTGCATTTCGCCCAATGGATTTCCCATGAGAAACCGGGGTTCGCTAGAGGTAATACGTTCAGCTGCCGAAGGCAAATCACGCGACTCTTTCTACGCTCGTCCCTTGTTTTCCTTGTCACACAATTGTCTGCAAAGCAATAGCAAGTCTATAAGATGTTTCTTTCCTTTGACGCAGAGGACTGATGCAGATGCAAATGATGCCAAGTTTTTTTTTCTGATGGGCAGGGATTTGTTCTCAGAATTCTGGAACAAAGTTAAATGCCTACTTCAACGCAGGCAGCCGTGACCATTGGAAGAAGGTCTCTCGGCTCTTGGTGCTCATAGTTTCTATGTGATGCGTGGTGAAGCCGACCTGGGTGGGATCACGAGCAAGGTCTTGCCATGCGGTGGGGCGTGGAGCTGGCGGAGAATGTGGAAGATATTTCCAACAAGGAGAAGTTGCTTGTGGTGTTTTCAGTTGCAAACATTGATACGTTTTTAACACTCGAAGACTCTGGAAAGATTACAGGTTCTTTCTTTCTCTCTTTCTCCTGGTCCCTTGTTTTTTTCTCATGGGAGGGACCTGCAAGCAAAGAAGCAAACCGCTAAACTGGAACTAGATAAGTGCTTGACCACGGAATTTGAACTCTTATTTCTTCAAACCTAACCTTGGAAATCACAGAGCTTGATATTTATGGCATCATAAAACTCTAGAATTTAACTTCTGACTAGAATCAGTTTCATCATAATTCTAAATATGATTTGGCTTGAAAGACTCCACAATCTCTTTATTGAATCCTTTTGCTCAAGATTGGGATTTCTTCTCTCTACAAACTTATCCTCGTGCGGAGTTCTGGCACTCCTTGGCATCATCACTACTTCTGGGGCTGGATCTCTTGATCATGAAAAAGGCCCAGGAATGTCTCCAGATTTCAACTCTGGTGCTATTGATTAGTACTTAAAATATAATGTGAGGTATATTTTTACCCTTAAAATTTAAATTATATATATTAAGCATTTATAGTTACTGGTATACTGAAGTTGTATCAAACTTTGTTTAACACAATTTGAGCTAGTGTTTTTAGAGTATTTTAGTGTGTTTCAATTCTTTATTTCATAGTGTAATAAAATTCAAGTGCACTATATTTAATCATCATACGAAGAAAAGTATATTCTTAATCATAAAATTAAAAATGTACATATTAAGCATCCATAAATTTTATAGGGCATCCACTAAGTAACTAATTGCCTTATATGGAATAATTAATTTATAGAATGGAAAGATTGGTAAATATAACATGGAAATAATAGTGTGCTACAATTTGTGAAAGGTATATATCCATAAGGTCTCTATTTAAAGAATTATTTTAATATTATATTTTTAAGTTTTTAAATTAATTTTTTTTAAAAAAAATTAAGGTAGAAAGAATTTATTATAACCATTTCTTAATAAAAATTTGCTATATAGTATGTATTTGAGTCAGAAAACTAACTTTTTGGCCCTACTTACTTTTGATGAAATCCCAGTAGTTAGTTTTATTGGTATCTCTAATATATCAATTAACAGTTGGAGACTGATCATCAAATCAAAATAGAGAGAACTAAATATATAATTTGAAACTGAGATTTAGATTTGTTCTTAGCCTCAAAATCTAAAAATGGGCTAGAGATTATGGAATAGTAATCTTGAGATCTTGAATTCCTACCACCAGTGATGTTGGAAGCACAGTGATGATGATGAGGATTAGAGAAGCTAGAAAACATGTCTTATTCTATCATGGCGTCATCACCATCCAGAATCCTAACTCTTATAGACCATGGCTAGAAACATTAGACTTTTCGAAGTGTGTTCTTGTTCTTGTGAAAAAACATTGATGTTGGAGAAAAAGAAAAGTGACTAACATGACATTACATTACCATTGCTCGCTCTTGAGTAGATTATTTTATATAGCCATCTAATGTTTTATAATGTTTATGTTTATAGTTTATAAAGACAAGATTAATCCAAGAGATCTTGTAAACTCAAAATTAATCTTTTTCTCTATAATACTTTTCATATTGCTGGGATCACCTTTAAAGTCATGCACAGATTTAACAAATTCAAATCAGCCTCCTCCTTGTGACCAAACTATTCATGCTAAATGCAAGAGCATTGGTGCTTCTACAGCACTAGCTTAGTAGCTTGTTTCTTTGCCTTTAAATCCCAAACTATGAGAGGAAAAACGAGGGAGAATAAAATGAGAAAGACCCTGCAGACAGCGAGGAAAAACATCCAGAAGTCGTGGAACTCAACGTAACTTCTCCTTGTTCGAAAAAGAAAACTATGCACTTGTTGGACATTCTCTGCCAGCTCCAAAGTCTCAGTCAAAAGAAAATGCAAGACCTTGATCATGATCTGGCTTCACCACCCCGTATCCCGGGACAAAGGGACAGCAGTCCATCAATCAATCACTCAAGCGATGCTGCTAGACTCAGTGGCGATCGAGCAAATTCAGAACACCCATAACTATGAGCACCAAGACGAAAATTTAGCAAGCATCAAAGGAGTCAAAGTACCACAAAGCCATCTTATGCAAGCGCATACATTTTTCCGTTCCAGAAACTTGCAAACCGATCTAGGGAATCGTTCATTTTTTTATTACTTTTTCTTAAACAAGACGTTCTTCGAAGCGACACACTCTGGCTTGCTGGAACACTCGTCCTGGCCGGCAAAAGTAGCCCCTCTCCGGAGCGCAATGTCGATCGCTGGAGCAAATGCAAAGACCCTCTAGAGCGCAGTGATCGTTGTCGCTGGTCAATCCAGCGGTCGTCACTCCGAGAACCAGATCCGACCACTCGCTCGAGAACAAGCCAGCCTCTTCTTCGCATCCAAAACCTTTGGAATGTTTGGATACTTTCTGGAAGCGTTGACGAAGGCAACGTTGCGGTTCTTTCCCCAGTGTGGAGTTCCCTGGTACTTGAAAACGGCCATTTGCTCGAGCTCTTCGAGGACGTCTTCGTTGAGCCTTGGAGTGTTTGCGTCGTCCGCTCGATAGTAAGTGACGTCGATGTCCACGGAATCCTCGGGCTTTCCCAAGTAAGCGCTGGATTTCTTCACGTAGCGCATTAGAAATTTACTGTAGCCGTCGGGACCGCACAGACCGTTCGAAGTCGCGTTTCTCAGCCTCTTCACGTCGAGTATGAAGTCCCTGGATCTTTCGAGGGCGATCGAGATGGTTGTCTGGTGGAAGAACAAGCCATCGATGCTGGGATCCCATGGGCAAGTGAAGAGCGAGCTGGAAGAGTTGTAGCAAGTTCCTGAGGTTTGTATCCTGTTCTGGTTTCCAATCAGCGGATAACCAGTGAAGAGAACGCCGTTGTTCTTGAGCCCGTAGCCAGTCGTCCAGAGCGTGAATGCCTGTAGCCGAGCTCTGTTACACGTACCTTGCGTGTCTCTCGTGAACTCAAAAACTCTTTCTATCGCAGCAAAACAAAGACAAAGTCAAAAGAGCTATAAAGAACAACAAATTACCTGTGGTTCTCGTAGCTTGAGAGATCAACACTGCTGTCGGCTGGAAGCCGATGAAATCGTTCACTCCATTTCCGGGAACAATGCTTGGAACCCGTTGATCGATCCGGTAGACCGCCCGGTTCATGGAAGGATACCAAGTTATGTCACCATAATCGTTACCATTTGCAAAAGTGGCGACTTGATCCTCCAGATCGCTGTCCGACCTCATGGTGTTGGTCACGGACCTCTTAAACATCGGCTCCACCTTGAGTGTGATCTTGGACAGCACGCCTAGAACTCCGAGAGAAACCTTGACCGCGTTCAGATCTTCGCTAGCTTGGGTGAAAGTTAAAACTTTCGCGTATCCCTCTGCTGGCGATGCCGGAACCACGAGCCTGATGCTCGTCACGTACTCGTGAACAGCACTTCCCAGATCTCGAAGAGAACTTCCGTGAGCACCGGTGCTGAGGAGGCCACCGATCGTGACGCCGCTCCAGCATGAAGATTGTGGAAAAGCGAGCTGGGAACTTGCGAGAGTGTCCACAAAGTTGCGAAGCTCCACACCACTGTCAACCGTGACCGTCATGGCTGCCCTGTCGATGACAATGTCGTTGCTGTAGTTCTTCGTGCTGATCACGAGTCCTTGATCGCCCCCGGGACAAACGAGCTTCGGCATGCTGTGCGACAGCCCCGTCACGACTTTCATCTTCATGTTGTTTCTGACTCCAAATGCTACGGCGTCAACGATCTGCTGCTCGCTCGCCGGATAGAAAACTTGAGCAGCCTTGCAAGTGGATCGATCGGGCCATGTCCCGTAAGTTCCAGAGATTGTGCAGTTTGAATTCCCAGACTTGCAAGTTACTGCTGGCGGAGGTAGCGCAAGAGCATCTGCAAACAAAAGAATTGAGAGAACGAGTGTGAGGGAGATAAGATTTGCAAAAAATGCGATTCAAAGATGAAGCAAGCAGTGCAACAGGAAATCTCATATCTTCACGCGTATCAAAAAAAGAAGCTATCCAAGAGACTTTTAATCACGACCTGTGGAAGAAAGTCGTAGATGGGAGATGGTGGCAACCTACACCAACAACCTTCGTCTCGTGTAGACCAGTTCTACTCGATATTGTACGTTCATTTAAATCCAGGTAAGTTAAGTCATTCAACACTGAGTAGTTCTTCGAAGCGACACACTCTGGCTTGCTGGAACACTCGTCCTGGCCGGCAAAAGTAGCCCCTCTCCGGAGCACAATGTCGATCGCTGGAGCAAATGCAAAGACCCTCTAGAGCGCAGTGATCCTTGTCGCTGGTCAATCCAGCGGTCGTCACTCCGAGAACCAGATCCGACCACTCGCTCGAGAACAAGCCAGCCTCTTCTTCGCATCCAAAAACTTTGGAAGGTTTGGATACTTTCTGGAAGCGTTGACGAAGGCAACGTTGCGGTTCTTCCCCCAGTGTGGAGTTCCCTGGTACTTGAAAACGGCCATTTGCTCGAGCTCTTCGAGGACGTCTTCGTTGAGCCTCGGAGTGTTTGCGTCGTCCGCTCGATAGTAAGTGACGTCGATGTCCACGGAATCCTCGGGCTTTCCCAAGTAAGCGCTGGATTTCTTCACGTAGCGCATTAGAAATTTACTGTAGCCGTCGGGACCGCACAGACCGTTCGAAGTCGCGTTTCTCAGCCTCTTCACGTCGAGTATGAAGTCCCTGGATCTTTCGAGGGCGATCGAGATGGTTGTCTGGTGGAAGAACAAGCCATCGATGCTGGGATCCCATGGGCAAGTGAAGAGCGAGCTGGAAGAGTTGTAGCAAGTTCCTGAGGTTTGTATCCTGTTCTGGTTTCCAATCAGCGGATAACCAGTGAAGAGAACGCCGTTGTTCTTGAGCCCGTAGCCAGTCGTCCAGAGCGTGAATGCCTGTAGCCGAGCTCTGTTACACGTACCTTGCGTGTCTCTCGTGAACTCAAAAACTCTTTCTATCGCAGCAAAACAAAGACAAAGTCAAAAGAGCTATAAAGAACAACAAATTACCTGTGGTTCTCGTAGCTTGAGAGATCAACACTGCTGTCGGCTGGAAGCCGATGAAATCGTTCACTCCATTTCCGGGAACAATGCTTGGAACCCGTTGATCGATCCGGTAGACCGCCCGGTTCATGGAAGGATACCAAGTTATGTCACCATAATCGTTACCATTTGCAAAAGTGGCGACTTGATCCTCCAGATCGCTGTCCGACCTCATGGTGTTGGTCACGGACCTCTTAAACATCGGCTCCACCTTGAGTGTGATCTTGGACAGCACGCCTAGAACTCCGAGAGAAACCTTGACCGCGTTCAGATCTTCGCTAGCTTGGGTGAAAGTTAAAACTTTCGCGTATCCCTCTGCTGGCGATGCCGGAACCACGAGCCTGATGCTCGTCACGTACTCGTGAACAGCACTTCCCAGATCTCGAAGAGAACTTCCGTGAGCACCGGTGCTGAGGAGGCCACCGATCGTGACGCCGCTCCAGCATGAAGATTGTGGAAAAGCGAGCTGGGAACTTGCGAGAGTGTCCACAAAGTTGCGAAGCTCCACACCACTGTCAACCGTGACCGTCATGGCTGCCCTGTCGATGACAATGTCGTTGCTGTAGTTCTTCGTGCTGATCACGAGTCCTTGATCGCCCCCGGGACAAACGAGCTTCGGCATGCTGTGCGACAGCCCCGTCACGACTTTCATCTTCATGTTGTTTCTGACTCCAAATGCTACGGCGTCAACGATCTGCTGCTCGCTCGCCGGATAGAAAACTTGAGCAGCCTTGCAAGTGGATCGATCGGGCCATGTCCCGTAAGTTCCAGAGATTGTGCAGTTTGAATTCCCAGACTTGCAAGTTACTGCTGGCGGAGGTAGCGCAAGAGCATCTGCAAACAAAAGAATTGAGAGAACGAGTGTGAGGGAGATAAGATTTGCAAAAAATGCGATTCAAAGATGAAGCAAGCAGTGCAACAGGAAATCTCATATCTTCACGCGTATCAAAAAAAGAAGCTATCCAAGAGACTTTTAATCACGATCTGTGAAAGAAAGTCGTAGATGGTGTTACACGACACACCTCGCCACGTAGACATTAGGGTTTTCCTGTTCGGTCCACTAGCACGGTCGATTTGTCTCATGGTATTGGAGCTGGGATAGCGCTATGGAAAGAAAGCCATCCATCTAGCGAGTTTGATGGAAAAGGGTTTGAGGGATTCAAGATCCATCTTGAATCCTATCTCTTGTTTCATGGGTTGTTGGGGATTGTAGATGGGATAGACGGCTCCAGGCTCTAGAGGTGCGTGATTGGAACCTTCGGGATTCCAAGGCTAGAGGGAGTATTGCAATGTGCTTGTCCTCGAATGTTCTCTTTGCTGCCCCATCGATTCCAAAGTCCATTGTGGTAGAGCTCTGGAAGTGGCTGAGCGACACCTACGGCACCAAGAGTGAAATGGATGTCTTCAACATCCATTCACAAATGGATTCCTTAAGGCTAGAGGAAATTGGCAGCATCTACTAAACTTTAGGGCTTCTTCACACAACTTGCAACTGCTGGGGCGAAACACTATCTCACGGATGAGCAGCAGAGGCTGCGGCTCTACAGGTCCTTGCCAAGCTAGTTGGAAGAATGCAGTTGAGAGCCTGCTTTTCCAACTAGGGATGACTTGGGCAGATGCCGTGAGGAGTTTTTGCAACATTGAGGCCATGTGAAGTGAGAGAGCTGAAATGCCGTAGGCTATGTATGCTTTGCAGGCTTCTGGTGATGCCAAGGTGGCAAAACCACATGCAGCTGCAAATGCCCAGAAAGGGCAAAATTCTGTGGCATCTGGGCTTGCCAAGCCCAGACTTGCTAAGAATCAGTGTGCTTGCTGCTTGGAGATGGGCCACTGGGCTTGAGATTGCCCTGCTCCCAAGCCTGTCAAGCGACTAACTACGCTAGCAAAAGCCAATCTGCTCGAGCATGATGGAATTGCTACAGCAAATGAGGATGCTGAGGAACTCTACAACACAGAGGCAATTGCAGCACCAAGCTGGTGGCTCCTAAACTCTAGTTGTACTAATCCTATGGGCAATAAAAAGAGTTTTTTTGAGTGTTATTAGCCGAGTATTGGAAAACATAGTGTTTATTTAGGTGACAAGACCACTATCCCATGGAAGGCATTGGGCAATTTTGGCTCTCACTTGATCATGGTGCTTTATTTAGGTGACAAGACCATTATCCCCATGGAAGGCATTGGGCAATTTTGGCTCTCACTTAATCATGGGAGCACCATGGCCTTTGATGGTGCCATACACGTTTCCACCTTGTGATGAAATTTAATGTCCAAAATACAATGGTAGTTTTTGATGCAAAAGAAGTCTCTTTGGTTGACTCTTCATATATTTGGTACACAATTGCTTCGTGGGTCACACATTAAGGACTTGTATGAAATTACTGTTGCCGACTTGGTTCAAGCTTTTTAGATTGTGTAGGCAAATTCTTGTGCAAAGCTTTGGCATAAAGACTTGGTCATGTTCATTACCAATCTCTTCAACGGATGAAATCCCAAGATATTGTTACTAGATTCAACTTTCGATATATCCCATTTACATTTTGTGAAGCTTGCATTTTAAGGGCTCACCATTTGATGTGATGCCAGCCTCCCTGGTTCCAGAAATCTATAAACAAAACACAGAAAAACATCTGGGTCAATCCCAAAAAACAATGTTTTGTGAAGTCATTATTAGCTATATCGAGGGTTTTCAATGTAGTTTTTCTTCACGGACAAGGGTAAAATCTTGTTTTTAAATCCAGGGTAAGTTAAGTCATTCAACACTGAGTAGTTCTTCGAAGCGACACACTCTGGCTTGCTGGAACACTCGTCCTGGCCGGCAAAAGTAGCCCCTCTCCGGAGCGCAATGTCGATCGCTGGAGCAAATGCAAAGACCCTCTAGAGCGCAGTGATCTTTGTCGCTGGTCAATCCAGCGGTCGTCACTCCGAGAACCAGATCCGACCACTCGCTCGAGAACAAGCCATTGGGATCCAGCCTCTTCTTCGCATCCAAAAACTTTGGAAGGTTTGGATACTTTCTGGAAGCGTTGACGAAGGCAACGTTGCGGTTCTTCCCCCAGTGTGGAGTTCCCTGGTACTTGAAAACGGCCATTTGCTCGAGCTCTTCGAGGACGTCTTCGTTGAGCCTTGGAGTGTTTGCGTCGTCCGCTCGATAGTAAGTGACGTCGATGTCCACGGAATCCTCGGGCTTTCCCAAGTAAGCGCTGGATTTCTTCACGTAGCGCATTAGAGATCCACTGTAGCCGTCGGGACCGCACAGACCGTTCAAAGTCGCGTTTCTCAGCCTCTTCACGTCGAGTATGAAGTCCCTGGATCTTTCGAGGGCGATCGAGATGGTTGTCTGGTGGAAGAACAAGCCATCGATGCTGGGATCCCATGGGCAAGTGAAGAGCGAGCTGGAAGAGTTGTAGCAAGTTCCTGAGGTTTGTATCCTGTTCTGGTTTCCAATCAGCGGATAACCAGTGAAGAGAACGCCGTTGTTCTTGAGCCCGTAGCCAGTCGTCCAGAGCGTGAATGCCTGAAGCCGAGCTCTGTTACACGTACCTTGCGTGTCTCTCGTGAACTCAAAAACTCTTTCTATCGCAGCAAAACAAAGACAAAGTCAAAAGAGCTATAAAGAACAACAAATTACCTGTAGTTCTCGTAGCTTGAGAGATCAACACTGCTGTCGGCTGGAAGCCGATGAAATCGTTCACTCCATTTCCGGGAACAATGCTTGGAACCCGTTGATCGATCCGGTAGACCGCCTGGTTCATGGAAGGATACCAAGTTATGTCACCATAATCGTTACCATTTGCAAAAGTGGCGACTTGATCCTCCAGATCGCTGTCCGACCTCATGGTGTTGGTCACGGACCTCTTAAACATCGGCTCCACCTTGAGTGTGATCTTGGACAGCACGCCTAGAACTCCGAGAGAAACCTTGACCGCGTCCAGATCTTCGCTAGCTTGGGTGAAAGTTAAAACTTTCGCGTATCCCTCTGCTGGCGATGCCGGAACCACGAGCCTGATGCTCGTCACGTACTCGTGAACAGCACTTCCCAGATCTCGAAGAGAACTTCCGTGAGCACCGGTGCTGAGGAGGCCACCGATCGTGACGCCGCTCCAGTATGAAGACTGTGGAAAAGCGAGCTGGGAACTTGCGAGAGTGTCCACAAAGTTGCGAAGCTCCACACCACTGTCAACCGTGACCGTCATGGCTGCCCTGTCGATGACAATGCCGCGGCTGTAGTTCTTCGTGCTGATCACGAGTCCTTGATCGCCTCCGGGACACACGAGCTTCGGTATGCTGTGCGACAGCCTCGTCACGACTTTCATCTTCATGTTGTTTCGGACTCCAAATGCTACGGCGTCGACGATCTGCTGCTCGCTCGCCGGATAGAAAACTTGAGCAGCCTTGCAAGTGGATCGATCGGGCCATGTCCCGTAAGTTCCAGAGATCGTGCAGTTTGAGTTTCCAGATCTGCAAGTTACTGCTGGCGGAGGTAGCGCAAGAACATCTGCAAAGAAAACAATCGAGAGAGTGAGCATGCTAGAGAAAGTGAAAAGTCCCATTCTCTTTGAACGAGCAGAGCTGATCTACACGAGACAATCAAAGGTGAAACTCGAGACTCTCACTTAAGTAGAAACACCAATGTCGCACACCAAGTCAAGCATGAGCTTGATAAGAAACATTACCTGGCGTGTTCGTGTATCCACTATTCGTTTAGAGACCTGTAAGTTGCCACCATCTACGACTTTCTTCTACAAACTGGCGGCATTTCGTTCCATTCATTACGGAACTCTTCACAACAAGAACTCATATCCGTCTGTAAACAAAACCAAAAAGAAAAAACAAGGAAAGGAAAAGATAAAAAAGTAAACCTGGATCTTATTTAAAAGGAAACAATTCCAGGAAGGAGATAACATCTGCGATCCAAAGATGTAAGTAAGCAGTGCAACACGAAACTTGTAACAAAAAGAAAACAAAGAGAACCTTACCCCAATTGGATCACGATCCAAAGCCGCCAAGCAAGAAGGAAAAATTCACCTCGTGGTGTTGACTGTCTAAAGAGCCGTAAGTTGCGACCATTTCCCATCCACGACTTCCTTCCAGAGGCTGACGGCATTGCTTCCATCCGTCACGGCAAGAACGTTCCCAGCGGATGACCACCGAACTCTCCAAACCGGGACCTTGAAATCGTTGAGCAGTCGCCCCTGCCACTGATCGCTGCCAGCTTCCGAGTGATCCTGGGTCCAAATGATCACCGTCCCATCCTGCGAAGCGCTGGCCATGGTAGTTCTCGGGAGCCCGATGTTTGGTGCCCATGCAACGTCTCTCACCCAGTCGCTGTGCTTGGACAGCGGCGGGAAGCAGTCCATCTTCCAGCTTCCATCGCTAAACCTCCAGACTTTGACAGTGTTGTCACAACCGCAAGAGACGAGCTTGAAAACATAGGTGTTGTGTGACGCTGGTTGCGACGAGACGAGAGCGCCTGGGGCCAGTGCTGGAGCCCATGAAACAGCAGTGACGCCACCTTCGTGCTAAGACAAAAAAAAAAAAAAACAGAAAGAATGGTTAGAGCTCGTGAAAGCTTTAAATTGTGGAACGACTTTCTACAGTAGCTTGGAGAGCAAGGAAATCAATCAATCGACTGACAGAGATAAAGAACACTTGAACAGAGAGCAAGAAGATCAAACAAAAACAATGCAATGACAATAAAGAGAGCAACGTGATGCAAGCAAAGAAAAACTAAACTAAGATCTATGTATAAAAGAAAGGACTCACAGCTGAGCCGATCTTCGTCTTGTCCCATGCAGCCGACGCGTTGCCTTGCTTGGCCGTGAAGATCGAGATGCTCGAGTCGGACGAGCCGCAAGCAAGGATCAAGCCCAGCTCGTGAGGCGCCCAATCGATGGAATTCACACTCCCTTGGTGCTCCTCAAACACCTGGATTTGCGACCACTGCCCATTCCTCCCGGAATCCTTCCACACGATCACGCGGCGATCGAAGGAGCAGGAGGCGAGAATGGAGCCGAATCGAGGGTGCGCCCATGCAACCTGCCATACCGGGAGCTGGTGCCCCGTGAGAATCACACCGGGATCAGAGGGATTGTCGATGGATCGGACTTGGATCGTTCCATCCGACGAGCACGTCGCGATCTTCTTGCCGTAGTAATCCACAGCAGCGTCGTTGGTGCAGTGGGAGTCTCCCTCTGCCATTCTCGCAAGGAACCCTAAATAATTAGATTCCCTAAAAGCAATGTTTATAAAGGAGTGCATTATAGAATTTCAAAATATTTTTAAATAATAATATTATTTAAAAATAAAAATATGGAATTGAATTCTAAAGAAAAATACTATTATTAATTATGTATATATTTGGTTTTAAATCAAATTACTTTATAAGAATAATTAAAAATATATAACAAAACTTTATAAGATTAAATATTTATAAAAACATCTAGATAATATAATTTAAAAAAATAAACTTTGTGAGGGCCAAGTGTACAATTACGATGCCATATATTAATATTAGTGTAGTGGGATTTTAGTAGCCGTCGAATTGGTTTCAATCCGGACTACTCGTTCCTGTATATAAACTAGGGTTTTTGGGCTAATTGATATGCACATTTCTATATTCCCTTTCTATATTCCATGCATTCACATTGGTGGAGGTGAGGGGCATCTTTGATTGTCCCCGGGGAGTGCTTGGATTTGGGATTTCAATTTATATTTAGCTTTTGCATTGTCTAGATCTAACTTTTTCTATTTCCTTTCTTTTGTTCTTTCCTTTCAGGATTTTGGTTTAGATCTAGCTTTTTGCATTGTCTAGATCTACCATTTCCTTCTAGCTTTTTGTCATTTCTCTTCTTTTGCTCTTTCTTTTTCATTCATCTCCATGGCAGATCAACAATCTCCTCCTTTGACTCTAGAGCAGCAGTTGGTACAATTGCTTGATGCTATGTGCTTGCAATTGAACAACCAAACTCAGTTGATGGCGGCATTCACGGCACATGGTACAACTCCTCCTGCTCTTGGTGCCAATCCTCACGTTTGGCCGGAGTTCTTTCGCGGGAATCCTAGGGATGATGTATACCATTGGTTTGATCACTTTACGGTGATTGCCACATATCATTCTTAGGATGACGCTCGACGTTTGCGTGAGTTTCCCACATGTCTCCAAGGGACGGCATTGCAGTGGTACAACGGTTTGGGAGCAACCACTCACGGGGATTGGAGTGTTCTTCCGGATGTCTTCAAACGCGCCTTCGGACATGCCGATGATTGTGATGATGCTTTCCAACAATTGCATCGTCTTCACCAAGGGCCATTTGAGTCGGTGATGCAATTTGGTGTTCGTTTCCGAAGTCTTTTGCTTCGTGCGGAGCCAAATATGTCGGAGCGAATCAAGCTAGGAATGTTGTGGCCAGCATTGCGTCAAGATCTTGTCGGACTTGTGTATGCACTTGCTCTCGCCACCCTTGACGATGCTCTTTACTTGGCACAATGTTATGAGACGTTGCCTCTTCCACTTCTCGCTACACATCCTTCAGCTCCACTTTTTGTGGGTGATAGTCTTGTTCCAATGGAGGTTGATGCTGCTGCTGCTCGAGTCCAAGGTCAAGGGCGAGGACGTGGTCATGGCCATGATGTTCACTGTTGGGCATGTGATGAAGTTGGTCATACTTATCAGTGTTGTCGGTGTTTTCCGGATTGGCGACCTCCATTTCTTGGGTGGAGACCTTGGCGTCAGCAACGTCTCGTTGGTGCTGCTGCAATGGAAGGTTTGGACACTAAGATGCATCTGGGAAACGAGGAGTTGCACGAGTAACGGAGGGACCTTGCGCAAATAAGTCAGTGACCCCTCCATTTTTCTTTTGGGAGTATCATCAAGGGTTTCACTCGGCACCAGTTCATCCAGTGTTTACTTTCCAAGCTCGTCTTTATAACAAAAGGTCTCTTATTATTCTCTCCGTGTTGGTTGATACAGGTTCGAGTTTATCTTTTATTGCTCGACCTGTTGCCACACGTCGTCGTCTACACTTGCGTCGTGCGGCGGAACCACTTTTCATTCTTTATGGCAATAGCCGTACACATGCATGTGCACGGGATGAGGCAAACCTGGTTGTGCCTGTGGGCGATCTCGAGCTTGAGTTGCAGTCGTTGCGGGTGGTGCCGAGTCAAACTTTTGACCTCATTCTTGGTATGGATTGGTTGCAGCGCAATCATGCCAAGTGTGATTTTGAGGCTTCTCCCCCTTGTCTCATACTTCCTTATGTTTCATCCATTCCTCTCACTTTTGTACCTCTTCGTCCCTTTACTTCTACCTCTGCTTCCATTACTTTTGTTTCCGCACTATTTCCTCCTGTATTTCCATCTTGTTTTGCTCTTCCCTTTTCCGATCCCTCTGACGATCTTTGTGTTGCAGTAGTTGACCGGCTCATGAAGGAGTATTCTGATCTCTTTGACTTTGACCTATCGTCTGGAGCCAAGATTGCCACACGTCATCCGATTCCAACTAGGGATGTTCATCCAATCAAGGTTCTTGTTCGTCGTCGGTCACCAAAGGAGATCAAGATTTTACGTACAAATGTCAAGGAGATGTTGGAGAAGGGTGTTATTCGGAAGTCACGGAGTCCTTGGGCATGTGAACCTCATCTTGTGACGAAGCCTGATGGGAGTATTCGTTTCTGCATCGACTATCATCCATTAAATGACATAACGATCCCGGATGTGTACCCTCTTCCTCATACTGTTGATTTCTTGGATCGTCTGGGGCAAAGTCATTGGTTCACCAAGCTAGATCTTGCTTCTAGGTATTGGCAAGTACTGATGGCCGAAGAAGATATTCCTAAGACTGCTTTTCGTACACCATTTGGTTTGTATGAGTTCTTGGTGATGCCATTTGGTTTGAACAATGCTCCAGCAACTTTTCAGACGAGGTTCTTTGCGATATGCCAGAGGTGACTGCTGACTTCATTGATGATGTCTTGATCCACTCGGAGGGGACGTGGGAGGAGCACGTTCGTGATGTTTGTAAAGTGTTGGATCGGCTACGCGACGTTGGTTTAAAGCTGAAGTGGTCGAAGTGCGTGTTTGGATCCAAGGACACAACTTATCTTGGGTACCATATTTCTCGTGAAGGTTTGCAAGTTGATCTTGACAAACTTATGGCTGTTCTAAAATTCCCTACTCCGAAGTGTGTGAATGATGTGCAGTGCTTCTTGGGCAAGGTGCAGTATCTTGAGCGTTTTGTGGATCATCTTTCTAATCTCATTGCACCATTGCGAGCGTTGCTGAAGTTATCAACGTCATCTTTCATTTGGTCTCTGGATTGTGAGCGGGCATGCGGGGATCTCAAAGAATTATTAACAACTCCTCCAGTTTTGGCATATCCTGACTACACTCGACCTTTTATTTTACATGTGGATGCTTCTGACTATTTGACTCGTTGGGTGGAAGTTAGTGCTCTTGCTAGCGCCTTTGCAACTACTGTTGGATACTTCCTCCTCAATCGAGTGGTGTTCCAACATTCTTGTCCAGAGCGGATTCTTTCGGATAATGGTCCTGCATTTATGGCTGAGGCATTTCATGTTTTGACGTCTCGGTTGGGGATTCGCCACACTTTCACGAGTGCTTATCATCCACAATCAGACGCTCTGGTGGAACGGCTCGTTCGGATGTTCAAGGGGATGATTGCAAAGTATGTGAACTTTCAACATTCGGATTGGGATGGTTATTTGCCGTCTCTTCGGTATGCATATGTCACTGGGGTGTAGAGTTCTGTTGGTGCTTCACCATATAAACTCCTATATGGTCATGATCCAATATTACCAATGGAGCTGAGTTTACCTTCGCAATTGCCACGAGCTGCAGATGCTAGGTCATAGGATCAATATTTGACAAGCATTCTTCCACTTGTCCGAGCAGAGTCTGCCGAACACTTAGGCTGCGTACAAGTGGGACAACAACGGCGCTACAACTCCCATCATCGTCCACCTGCGGAGTACAAAGTGGATGATTTGGTGTTAGTCCATTTTCCCCATCTTACGGTACGTGGTTTATCTAAGAGGCTCCTTGCACAGTGGAAAGGACCGTATCGGGTGTTGCGGCAAGTTGGACCACAAGTTTATGAGGTTTGGCATGATGTCCAGCAGGCCAATCCTCTAAAGATTGTGCATGTGCAACAGTTGAAATGCTTCATACAAAGGGATCAGGAGCGGTTAATACCATCTACAGATCCACCAATGCCTCCTCATAATGTTCCTCCAGATCCCGGCCCATCTACAAAAGAACCCTGATGGTCTTCCATTATTCCGAGAGGAGGGGATGATGTGAGGGCCAAGTGTACGGTTACGATGCCGTATACTAATATTAGCATAACGGGATTTTGGTAGCCGTCAGATTGGTTTCAATTCGGACCACTCGCTCCTGTATATAAACTAGGGTTTTTGGGCTAATTGATATGCACATTTCTGTATTCCCTTTCCATATTCCATGCACTCACAACTTTATATTTAATAAGTTAAAATTTACATTAAAAATTAAATAAACTTTTTATTTTATGAATGCTCAATGGGAATAAATATATTAATTAAGGTTTAAACCCCTTTTTATTGGATGTGTGAGGTGCAAGTGTACGGCTATGATGCCGTATACTAATATTAGGATAATGGGATTTTGGTAGCTGTTAGATTGATTTCAATTTGGACCACTTGCTCCTATATATAAACTAAGATTTTTAGGGCATATTTTCTGTATTCCTTTTTCATATTCCATATACTCACATTGTTCTACACTTTTGATTGTCTTTGAAAAATGCTTGGATTTAGGATTTTGGTTTATATTTAGCTTTTGCATTGTCTAAATCTAACTTCTTTTATTTCCTTTTTTTGTTTTTTTTTTTTTTAGGATTTTGGTTTAAATCTAGTTTTTGTATTGTCTAAATCTCCCTTTCCTTCTAACTTTTTTTCATTTATCTTTTTTTGCTCTTTTCTTTTCATTCATCTTCATGGCAGAGTAACAGTTTCCTCCTCCTTTGACTTTGGAGCAGTAGTTAGTGCAATTTTTTAATGCTATGCAATTGTAATTGAACAACCAAACTTAGTTGATAGCAGCATTCATGGCATATGGTACAGCTCCTCTTGCTCTTGGTGCAAATTCTCATGTTCGGCCGGAGTTTTTTTGTGAGAATCCTAAGGATGATATGTACTATTGGT